TCATTGTCCTTAGATGTACATAAATGTCGAGTAATTTGCATCATATTTAAAACAGCCAAATCACCTTTCTTTTCTGTCTTTGAGGGTTGATGGTAACAATCAACTTTTGCAATGTAGGTGGTTTAAAAATTAGATTTTGACTGTTCTAAAGCCATATAATCTGTTGCATACATCTTTGATGTTCATTTGATATATTATTTTGTGGTTATATTAAATCTCTATATGTTGACCTACCATTTGGTCAATGAAGGGCTTGATAGAAAATAAATGAAATATTTTTATACTTTTTAAGAATTCAAAGGTGTGGAACCGATTCGGGAATAAGTTTAAGAATGGAGGACCATATATGCAGTTAAGCCATTATTTATTTTGTTATTATTTAATTGTCTATATGAGGGTAACATTACACTTCTGGATTTGTTACTTTCATCATGCCTTCTCATACTTGATTATGTTCCCTGTAAAGGGTGGTGAAGTCCGAAGTAGCATTTGTAACTTATGGCATAGAGGGGGTTTAGTTAATTCAATTATCCAACTAGGTTAGGAATTGCATTTCTATCATTTGGTAGTGTTTGTGATGGTAAGATTAGGATTTTATTTATTTTTCTAAATTCTTTTCAGTTTCTTATTAGAGTTTCTGTAAGTAGTTATATTAGAAACAAATTACAGTATGTAAGTACTCCTGTAATTTCTTTCAAAAGAATAAGAATGATTATAAGAATTTAAAACATCGTACTTTATGGTTTTGTCATGCAATCGTGATTGTATGATGCCATCGAATCTCACTTTAAACATTGTACTAAATGCTCATTCCTATGTCATTAATGTAGGTTGTGTGGAAAGAGAGAAATACTAGAACTTTTAATGGAATTGAAAATGATTTTAACAATATTAAGGATAGATGGATGCATAATTTTGGTTTTTTGTTCTTGGGACATGATAGTATGGATTTTGAGGATATGAGGATGGTACTAGATCAATTGACTGAGATGTAATTGTTGTAAATGAGTGGTATCCCCTTGGTACTATTGGTATAAATATATTCTCTTTTATTTCAAAGAAAAAAAATCAAATCTCACTTAGCTGTGATGCTTGACTGTTAGTGTAATGCCCAGTTGCTTTCTTTTGAAGAACCTGTTGAACCTTAAATCTCAAATTTTCTAGTGCAGTATCCCCAAGGCTGTGTTTTTCTGAAAGAATTCTTACTATGGAAAATTTGAGGAAGAGAGGAATATTTTGTTAATGGTTGCCCTCTTTGTCTTGGGATTATGAATCCCTCAACCATCTCCTATTGTGGTGGCTGGAGGCCAGAAGGTTGTGGGATTCGGCTTTACACCTTTTTAGTCTATCAAGGGGAGCGATGGACTTGGTCAGGGTTTAAAGTAAGTAAAAAGAGGAGACCTTTTAACCTCATTCCTTATCATTTTTTTGGGTCCTTAGTTGAGAAAGAAGCAATAGTATTTAAGGACATTTGCTCTCCTTTCATAGAATTAGAGGTTATTGCTTCCCATCCCTGAATATTTTGTTGACAGGATATCCTAATCCTTTTTGGGGAGAACTTGGGGAACCTTACTGATGTTTTGGTTTCTAATTTTGTAAAAATCTCTTGTACATGCTGGCACCACCTTGTTGCAATATTCTGTCCTCTCTTTATCTAAGAAAATAAATCTAGGCATGATATCCAGCTTTGGTCTCTAATTTCTAGGCGGACATATTATTCCTAATTTGTCTTCCAAAGTACATTTCCTGCAGACTTTTTCTAGGATTTTACCTAAGCACTTATTTTTGAAATTTGATTATTATTATTATTATTATTATTATTATTATCATCATCATCATCATTAGTGCCATCACCTTCAGGTTGACTTAGTCTAAAGTTAACTAATGACTCATATCTGATTGGCAGTTTAATATTTTGTTTGGATTTAGGTATTGGGAGAGGCCTACCAGGTACTAAGTAATCCAGACCAACGGCAAGCTTATGATGCATATGGAAAATCAGGAATCTCAGTGTTAGTTTCTTAGTTTTAATTTATTATTTGATAAGCAGAAAGTTCATACAATGTTTTGTACTTCGTTCTATTATGTCTGATTTTGGCAAGATGGGGGATAATTCACTTGCTGATATTTGTGTCTCTTCCTTGCAGTGATGCAATTATTGATCCTGCTGCAATTTTTGCAATGCTCTTTGGTAGCGAGCTTTTCGAGGAATACATAGGACAGCTTGCAATGGCATCGATGGCTTCGCTAGACATTTTCACTGAGGGGGAGCAGTTTGATGCTAAAAAATTGCAAGAAAAGATGAGGGTAAAATTTCTGAACATGCCTGATTCAATACATATAAATTAAATAGATGTATACATGACTTTTTTTTTATCCATGATATTTCTTTGATTGAGGTTTTGCGTGCTTTTTCTACATTGTTTTTTATTTTTTTTTTCCCGTGTATGAGGCTCTGTTTCTTAGTTGTTCCTGAACAAAGCAAGATATTAGAAAGTGTTTTCTAAGACAAGAAATACTGATTGTGCTATTCTCTTGAAACCGGTTGTATGTTGAACCAAGGTTGATGGAAAAATATTCGGGTGAAGCTTTAGTCCTATACGAAAGTAGAACCAGGTTTATGTAACGCTTGTAGGGAAGGGCCATTTATCCAGGTTGGACTCTGACTGGTCTGCCTGTGAATTCCGACAGAATTTTTGAAGTTTGTCTAGTGGAGACTTTTCTATCTGAACATGTAAATCCATAGGTATGGAGCATATAGACATGAATATATGTATATATCGAGAAGGAAACCATATAATGAAGACTTTTGTATTTGTGTCGTGCTCCCTTCTTGCCTTAATTTCAATATATATATTTATTTGAAATATAATACTATATGTTCATGCATGCACATAGATATACACGAAGAGATCAGCAGATGTGTGTGTATGTGCAGAAAGTCCAAAGTCAGAGGGGATAGAGTCATGGATCTCTATAACAAGAATATCGCAGATCCAAAAATAACAAAAAGATCAGGGCTTTTTTACAAACCAGAAATATGTCTAGGTTAAGCAGTTTAGATGGGAGAAAACAATTTGTACTGGGAAAATACAGTTGTTGCTGAAACATTATCAGGAGTATACATTATGTCAGGTCAGTATTATCTGTACCTAATTACCAATTCATACCACTTCAGGATGTTTTGGAAGTACCAACTTACTATCCATTTAACTTGCACTTGATCATTTAAACCGATAGATAACCATATGGATGGATATATGTTATAAATAACCATATCACCTCTAGATTATACAGAAACCTAATTTAAAGGCTGAGCAAAATCATATTGTTATGGTCCATATGTAAAAGAAAGCAAAAAATTTTAAAGGCTGAAAAGGACCGACAGACTGGAGAAGGAACCACATATAGCAAGTGGAAAATGGCCTATTAGTTGGAGTCATACGCGGTACTATTATCAACATAAAAGGAAGGCTGAAAATCTTTGATGTTCAGTGCTATTATCAACACCTAGAAGACTGTTTTCGCCTCTAGTACATGCTGACAAAATTTTGTGGAGTCTACTTCAGGACAAAAAATTGTACTGGCTACAAAGGGAACATATTTTGCCTCTAGATTGGGTGAAGACTTTTGGCTTGATACATATTGTTTGGACACATCCAGGACCGAGGAATTCGTTACAGTTCTTTCTATTTTATGAAACACATGGATTTTTAGATTTCATATTTTCTACAGCTGGGTTTTTTTTTTTCTTTTGGGAGCTCCTTTACTTCTGAATTCGTTTATCACATTTGATGCTTGGGGACAAGCACCTTAGAAGGAGAGTTGTAACATTATAATCAATAATATAAAAGAAAGCAGAGTCTTACAAGGCTAACAAGGACGCATGGACTGAAGAGGGATCCACATCAGCAAGCAGAAAATAGCAAACGGCAAAGAAGAGTTGCGTTGAACTCTTTTCTTGTCTTCTGTTTTGGAATTTTTTATTTTTCAGTTATTTAAATAATTGGGTAAAAATAAATCCTAAAGTCATGGTATTTAGATCCTAAGTTTTAGGAAAAAGTCAGCGTACTCTTTCCTTTTAAAAAATTTCTAGTCTCTATACTTTGGAGATCAGTGGGTTCTTTCTAAAGAGTCCCAAATCCTAGTTCCATAGATCTCATTCCATGATCAGATCCTAAGCCTAGGACCATAGAACATATCATGTTTGTGATGACTTTTACCTTATGTTCAGATTAAAAATTCTGTTAGGCGGTGATTAGAATTGTTTATTTAGTGTTTCTAAGCACCTTTAAGCATTTTTGCTCCAATCTTTGTGTTTGATAATACAAGAAATAGTGTGTTTATTAGGTTCTTGAAAATAATTTTAAAAAGGTAGAAAATAAGCGCATTATAATAACTTGTTATGTTCTTATTTTTTATATTACTATTTTTTGATGACATTAGGGCTGTTGTTGATATTCTTTTAGATATGTAATACTTTGTACATGGGCGATACCCCCTTGATGCCATTTTTTAATACATTTATTAACTTTTATCTAAAAAAAAATATTACTAATTTAGTTAATAATCCTCTTGATGTCCTTCTAGAATTAATAATATATACATAAAATAAGATAACTAGTAAAATATTTGTAATATATAAATATTTTTGTTCATTTTTTATAAAACACGACTATTTATTTTTTTGCAATCAATATTTTATCAAATGCATAACTGCTTATTTTTTAAATATAAGTTTACTTGCTTTTAGTAACTTAAAGCACCCAATTGCTTTAAACACATCTCTTTCAGCAATCCCAAGCACTCTCAGAATGACGCTAAGATGAATATAATTTGATTAATCTAAGTTGTCCAGTATTTAAGATTTAGCATCTGCCTGCATGTCATTGCAGATTTCCAATCTTTCTCGAAGAGGAATATTCATCCTTTACTATTGACTTTTCCTTCTTAGACAATATAACTGAAAAGCAATTGTTTATCTGCCTTTTCGCGACAGTTCAGTGCGATTATTATTATATATATATATATGCTTGGAAAAGACAATTGGTAATAGGGCTGCCACTTATGTGTAAAAGGTAATTATGGGACAAAAAGCATTATGCTCTAAAAGGCAGATAGACAGTTCAGTGCGATTATCTACACGGAAGTGTCCATTGACCCAAAAGTTTTGTATGTATAACCACCTATGCTTTACAGACAAAAGGGAGCCTCCAATGCCTTAAAAGATTCTTCTACTCGTTGTGCTCTTTGGCACTGCACCCAAAAAGGAAGGAAAAAAATTTACAAGATTGTTATCTTGAGCTTCTTGGAGGTATATACCCAACCATGCTGAGAATTATCTGTATATCCGCCCAACATCTAAAGAAGAATTCTCTTCTCAGAAGGCAGCGTAGAAGAAAGCGGTTTGTGGATACTGCCTTTTTGACTCATATGACCTGTTACTTGTTTATACGAAGTTTATGATATCTTTTCTTATGAAGCTGAATATTTTTCTCTTCTTTTTATGTGTTCAATCTGGCTAAGATATGAAAGTCTTTTTGACTGGTGCTTCGTGCGAACTACTTTTACCCACAGGTTGTCCAAAAAGAAAGAGAAGAAAAGCTTGCGGAAATACTGAAAAATCGACTCAACCAATATGTTCAGGGAAACAAAGAGGACTTTGTCAGGCATGCTGAGGCTGAGGTATTGAGACTGGCGAATGCAGGTAATAAATCTCTCATCTCTGTAATGAGTGCCCACATGTAGGAAAAGGTGGGGCAATCTTCTTTCTTTCTTTTTTTGTGGCTGGTGGGGAGGGGGAGTAGGTGGAGGACAAATTGTAGGGAGAAAGGGAAGAAACATTCCTTTGACAGCTTTTATGCTTTCCTGGGGTGTAAAAGTCGTTCCCTTGTTTTTGGTCTGGCCATGATGTATGAGGAAAGCTGTAAATTGTATTCCATGGTTTTCTTCTATATTATTACATTATTTATAGGGTTGAATACCAAATCAGTATTCCCCAAAAATAGAACAGAAAATATACTTTTAAAGGATTTAGGAAACTTTCCTCTATTTAGGATTCTAATATTAAATCTAAATCCTATTTTTTCTTTTAGATTTTCTCCCAATATTTCTGCACTCCCCCTCAAGTTAGACAGAGATGTTGATCATGTCAAGCTTGGAGCTCAAGTCCTCAAAGTTCTTTCTTGGCAAGGTCTTAGTTAGTATGTCCATTGTTTGTTGGTTGGATGAAATGCGTAGCACATTGATTATTACTTATTTTACCTTCTCCTTTATGAAATATCAGTCTATCTCGACATACTTAGTTTGATCCTGGTGAATCGGATTCTTTGTAATAGTCATTGCAGATAGATTGTCTCACAACATGTTTATGGGAGTAGAATTCTCAATCTATACTCCTTTTGGTACACGTGAGAGCTACATTCCTTCACATATTCCTAGTTTCATAACCCTGAATTCTGTCTCGAAGCTGCTTCGAGTTATAACTGGTTGTTTCTTGCTTTGCCAAGTTACTAAATTTCCCCACACACATTAGCAATATCCAGAAGTTAATCTTCTATCCATGACAGATCCTTCCCGATCAGGATCAGTGAATGTCTCTATATCTTTTCTTGTTGTTTTCCCAAGGAAAAATTCTCCCTGGTATCATTTATAAGTATCATAAAATTTGACTCATATCCTGTAGATGTTTTTTGGTTGGGTTATTCATGATTTAACCTACATTTGTTTGACAGCTTTTATAGTTACGGTGTAAAAGCTGTTCCTTGTTTTTGCTTTGGCCATGATGTATGAAGAAAACTGTAAATTTTATTCAATGGTTTTCTTCTATACTATTACATTATTTATAAAGTTGGATACCAAATTATTATCCCTAAAAAATATGACAGAGAATATACTTTTAAAAGGTTTAGGAAGGTTTCCTCTATTTAGGATTCTAATATCAAACCTATCCTATTCTTTCTTTAAGCTTTTCTCCTAATATTTCTGTATATTTCTTCTCCTAAATTTTCTCCTAATATTTCTGCAATATACAAACAGCTTACAAATCTGCTGCTTACACAAGGTTAATCAAGATAGATTAAAATCTGAAATTTAACAAATCAAACAAACACACCCTACACACAAATCGATACCCACTCAATACACAACTCTTCACTTGGGTCAATCTTTGAGATGCCTGAATTACTGATTCACCATTAGCAATAGCTGGTTCTTAGTTCTATGTTCTGCTAAGGAGAGAAATTTAATTTGTACAGTTCAGATGCCACTCCCAAGAGCTGAAATAAATGGCACTTTATTACGGAATTAATGATTTCTTGCCTTTTGATGTTCCAAACATTACCTTATATAGAAACTTAAAGTTGCTTATTTGGCGAAATTAGTAGCTGGGAACTTTTGAAGAATATGGAGGGAAATGCTAATTTTAACAGCAGCATCTTGTCATTTTGAACCTTCTATCTTGTTTTTATTTTATTGAATTTTGATATCTTCAACTGATACGGTTGCAGTGACAAATAATTCTTTCTGATTCACTCGATTCTTTTCTTTTTATACAGCTTATGGAGTTGATATGTTGAATACAATTGGTTATATATATGTGAGGCAGGCAACACAACAGCTTGGGAAGAAAGCAATTTATCTTGGTGTGCCATTCATTGCTGAATGGTTTAGAAACAAAGGTCATTTTATCAAATCCCAAGTAACAGCAGCGACAGGTTAGTATGTGCTGCTAGCTTCAGTGGCCAAAACTGCATTTCCTTGTTCCTTGATATTTTATGACTATCAATTTAATCCTCAAGTGCTTGGTTGCTGGATGAAGAAGTTGCACAGATAAGACACCAAGTATTAATCATTGTTGCCATGAAATTAATAAGGTGATCAACATAGAAGGACATTTCTATCGAAGTTCTTCTGCTAACATTTCTGGCAGTGTGTTGTTGTGCCCTTGGTCCATTGTTCTTTTTACACCTTCTTTCTTCTAGTTGTGCTGAGTTAGGATGTTGATGTTAATTGAATTAATCACTAATTACAAAGAGTGAGGTGCTATCGGATAGGTTCATATAAACTGCAATGGAAAGTGACACATATTTGAAGGAACATATTTCCTGAGGGAAAATCTGTGGAAGGACCATCATCTTTTTTTTTGTTTTGTTTTGTTTGTGTTCTTGCTGGTGTGCTAGGTGCCATCACTTTGATCCAGCTGCAGGAGGACATGAAAAAGCAACTCAGTGCAGAAGGAAACTATACCGAAGAAGAACTTGAAGAATATATGCAATCCCACAAGAAATTGATGATTGATTCTCTGTGGAAGCTTAATGTAGCTGACATTGAAGCTACTCTGTCCCGTGTTTGTCTGATGGTTGTTTTGCTAATCTTTGTTATTTATGGATGTTGCTTAGTTTGTGGTTGATGCGAGCCCAACTTGTTTGGTTTTAAACCCTTACTGTTTTATTTTAGGTTCTTCAAGATAACAATGCCAAAAAAGAAGAGCTCCGAGCAAGAGCAAAGGGGCTAAAGACTCTTGGTAAAATCTTCCAGGTACCTTTTGGGTGGCTTTGTCTGTTCTCTTCTGCTCAAGTTCATTCTGTTATTATATCGGTTTTTGAATTGAAACTTTGGTATGAAACAGAAGGCCAAGTCTGCCAATGGAAATGAGGGTGAGCCTTTGGCTGGTAATGTACAACAACTCAATGGTAGTGAACAAAACCATCTTGCTGGTTCTCCTACTAGATCACCAATATCTTTCAATCCTGAAGAGGCATCTTATTCAACATTTGCACCACAGGTACTTTTTCTTCCACACTGAAAAGCTTGTTACTTTTAAGAAGTAAATATGAGCCATATACAGAGACCGTAAATAAGGTGGACCTTGTTCGTTTGGTGAAAATATATTTTTCCCTTTTTTGCTTGTCTGTGGATGCGTGTTGTTTTGTTCATCAAAAAGAAGGAAAAATCTTATATAGAATATTACAATAACAATTTTTAACAATATTGCGAAGTTTGTAAATGACCAAAGTATTATTCTTCTCTCTCCTTTGGGCTTCCTCACGGGGGATCTTGGGGGTTTGGGTGGTAGAGATGAGGAGCTACTAGCGTACAGCAGATCTTGTTCATGAAGAAAAGGCTTGAAAATGCAATATACTACTCTTAACATTATCAGGTGGAATGGGGTGGGTCAAGGATAATTGAACTCTTTATGCCATTTAACTTTACTTTCTTTTTATGCATATTACTGTTTAATCATATTTTTATCCCTCTTTGGACCTATAAAAAAATCCTAGAGTCCATATGTGGAGGCCCCCCAATTTGCAGATGCCCAGTTTAACGATAATTTCCCAAGGCCAACCGCTCCTCCAGGTGCACAGAGACATCCATGAACTGGCAGGGATTGAGGATGGATGAATTTGATTATCCGTGTGAAGTGCTTGTATAATACACCTATTTTGAGTGTTATCCATCTTGATGTTGCAGCTGGGGGAGGGTCTGAGTTCTCTATTTGTTTGGATGCATTTGTAATAGTTATCTAGAAAGCCAAGTCCCATTAGGCACAGTGTAATCCTATTCATGGGAGATAAAAGTATTTTGTATACATAGGGAGGAAGGGAGATTGTTGTAGAAAGTATGGTATTTCATTTATCCATAGTTGGCTTCGATTGGTTGTCTTGTTATTGGACATGGTGTATTTTAGGTCTTCTTGACTGTTTTTTTTATCCACAGGTGTATATTTTAGGTCCTATTTTTACTTGAGAGATTTCTTTAAGTCATTACTTGGGAGATGCTGTTTCATTTATGAATTGTCGACCGTCGTTTGCCATGTGGTTTATGAATGGAGGTGTGTAACGCACCATAATGATGGATAAACCTGTCCAACTGAACTTTCTATTGCTTTTCTGTCTGCGGGTGGGTCAAAATTCAAAGGGAAAAAGACATTCATATTTGTCATATTCCCATCTTAATTGTAACTTGATGTGCCGCATTGCCGAAAATAATAAATTCTTCCAACCGGCATGTAAGTATTGCAGCCATGTGATTTACATAATACAAATTGAAGCATGTATACCAAGAGTACTCTGCGTATGTAATGAATTTATGTACATGCGCGGAACATCATTCGACAACGAGAACAACCGATATTTTGTGAACAAAATGGTAAATGCAGAATTCATGTGATAGTCACTGTGTTTTAATTTTGGGATGTGATGCGAGGTGCATTGAATTGAGGGGAATGAAAAGGATGCAAGGGAAAAAAGGACCTGTTGAGGGTGGTTTGTTTTCTATTTAGAGGTGATTTTTTAATCCTACCTGAATTGAATGAAAGAAAATTGACATGTATCCATCGTTTTCTCATACTCGAATTTTAAATCTGATAGTTTTTCTTTAAAGTTCTGTAAATTTAAAGTAAAAAGATAAATTATTGAAACTAATTATATCTCCAATTAGTTTTTTATATGGAGTAACAAGTTGGTAAGCATAATTTTTTTTTTTTTTCCTCCAACTTTTTCTCTGTCTGAGATTCGGACAGGAAAAAAGCACAGCTCATTCCTTTCTCTCGCGTTACTCTCTTAGTTTTTATTTCTACAATTTAAACTTTTAAATATAATATAAGAGGTTCTGAAATTTTATATATGCGGATGTACAGCCAGGTAGGCCTGTATCGATAGAATCATGTGCGGTTGTTGTTGTTGTAAGGATTCATTTTTCGGAATGCAAAGGAATTAAAAAAAAAAAAAAAAAAACGAAAGGGCTTCGTTTGTCCATTATTTGCTTTGTTGGATCCGCAGGGTGAAAATTTCATCTCATGGGATCTGGTAAAAAAATAGAATAAAAACGGGGGGGGGACGCATATCCTTTTGGCGAAGGATGAAGCAAGCGCGTGGTGATATGATGGGTGCGAAAGATTTTTCTCATAGACCGCGTGAGGACCGGAGAAGATTAAGAAAAAAAAGAAAAATGTTTACCATTCGAAATGAGAGAGGGAAGTCTAACGGCGTAAACTGCGCCAGTAAGTGACTTCGATTCAGCAAGCATTTGGAAACGAGATCCCAGGTGATATCGTTTCTTAAATTTAACTTTTTAACTCTCTTTGGTAATATTTATAAAAAATGAAAAAAAATATTTGAATAATGTATGCTTTACTCAAAACTTTAGAAGACGGTTCTGAGCTGTACCTTAAGTTACCACTAAACTTACGCCATACAATTCGTGAAAATTTATTTTGGAAGATTTTCTTAATTTACCCTCCAGTGCAAATTTTTATATTAATATTAAATATCTTGTAATTAAAATCAGAAACATATCCTTTTTCGTCAAGTACATGATAAAATGGGTTTAATTTTGTTAACGCGGAAGAAAGTTTTAAATTTTGATATATTTAAAAAAAAAATTAATATTTTTTGGAAAAATAAAAGAAAAAGGAAAAGAAAAATAAGCGAGAAAGAAGCAATAGAGGAAGTAAGTATTATTAATAAGCGGATTTCTATATATATATATATAAAAAAAAAAGTATTAATAAGCGGATTTTGACCGAAAGAGGGTTAAAGCCTGGGAAGGAGGAGTTGGACGTAAAGAGGGTGAGACAAGCAAGGGAGAGACATTGGGGATAGAGAGAGAGAGAGAGAGAGAGAGAGAGACAGAGAGAGGAAGAGAGAGGGAGAGCGAGTATAAGCCTGATTGCCCCCACCCTGGCTTTTGGGCTGCCGCTGTACCACCACTGCGTGAAACCCCTTCGCATCTTCCTCATCCTCCTCCCCTGCTTTTCCCATACTATAATAATCATTATTATCCCTCCAATTCTCTCTCCTCCCTAAATGTACATGAATTTTATGTACAGATCTTGCCTCTGCATGCCTTAAAACAGTTTCTCCAAATTCAGTTTCTGATTGGGATTCATTTACCCTATTGGAGTCTTCAAAAATCAAATCCAACAACGTCTCGGAACTTCTTGCCTTGTTGGGGGATCTGAAAGGTGAAACTCATACATCCTATTGTTGCCTTCCTTTTTTCACGTTAGCGGAATAGCCTGCTAATTTGAAAAGAAGGAAGTGTTTAAGTGGTTGTTACGGTACTTGAAGTTATAATTGTTGTTGAAAATGGATACGGCGAGCGAGAAGAAGTCGTCGGCAGTGTCCGATGTCGGAGCGTGGGCCATGAACGTTGTCAGCTCCGTCGGCATCATTATGGCTAACAAGCAGCTTATGTCTTCTTCCGGTTACGGTTTTAGCTTTGGTTTGTACTTTATTCTCTTTCCCTGATCTTTTCCTGGAATATTCTTTTCTTTGCTTGGATTGTTTTTCTTTTTTTTTTTTTGGTCTTCAAATTTGATTTCTGTTTTGAACGAATAAGATCTAATAACAACCGATCCAATTAGAATTGGTCTTTTAACGGTATTTGCCACTTTTCAGCGACGACGCTGACTGGATTCCACTTCGGGCTGACGGCACTGGTAGGTCTGGTGTCAAATGCGACTGGTTTATCAGCATCAAAGCATGTTCCTATGTGGGAGCTTATCTGGTTCTCTCTTGTTGCAAATACCTCCATCACTGCCATGAACTTCAGCCTCATGCTCAACTCTGTCGGCTTCTATCAGGTCCTCTTCACCCTTCCTTGGACTTTTTTTGTTGTTGCTATCTTCTCTTCTGTAGTTTATTCACACTAGTTTTGTTTTCTATTTTTACCTTGAGCTGAACTGCTTAGCAGCTTTATTCCGGAGTTGTTTTCTTTGCAAATTATGTTCTTCGCCGGTCTCTTCCATGCCCGCTAAACTTCTCATTTTTCCTTTGACGTAGATTTCAAAACTGAGCATGATTCCGGTTGTTTGCGTCATGGAATGGATTCTTCACAACAAGCAATACTCCAAAGAAGTGAAACTATCTGTTCTGGTTGTGGTAATTGGTGTTGGTATTTGCACCGTGACCGATGTGAAGGTTAATGCTAAAGGTTTTGTATGTGCCTGCATAGCCGTCTTGTCTACATCTCTGCAGCAAATTGTGAGTATTTTTGTTTATTATCTCGCTGCTTTTGCATTGATTAATATGTGCTCTTCTGGTTGGATCTTGGATTTATATTTTCTTCATTCAACTTTTTGATGGATTTGTTGATTTCACGGGAAACAACTGATTTGTGTAATAAAAGCGTCAATAGCACTTGCGGGATAGAGCTTTTGAATTAAAGCATAATATGCAGTCATTATGAAAATAGATCTGAATATATTGTAAGAATTGCAACAATGATCCAGTATATGCACAGTTATTACCGCCATGTTTGTGGAGGATGGTTAATCAGTACAAGCTTCATGCTGTTTAAGAAGTAATACTAAATAAAATGCTTTTCTGATTGTATTTCTTTGTGGAACAGTCAATAGGTTCTTTGCAGAAGAAATACTCAATTGGATCTTTTGAATTGCTGAGCAAGACTGCCCCAATTCAAGCCCTCTCACTACTTGTTCTCGGTCCGTTTGTTGATTATTACCTTACTGGCAAATTTATTGCAAATTACAAGATGTCTTATGGTGTCATTGTGAGTATTTTATTGTTTATGGTGTTCAGATTCACCCAAGTTTAGGGGAACACTTTTTGCTAACTCCTTCAAATGACTTGCTTTTTGATGTGCAGTTATTCATTCTTCTATCATGCTTATTAGCTGTCTTCTGTAATATAAGTCAGTACCTCTGCATTGGGCGATTCTCGGCTGTATCCTTCCAGGTTTTAGGTCACATGAAAACTGTATGCGTTCTCACCTTAGGGTGGCTTCTCTTCGATTCTGAGCTGACTTTTAAGAACATAATGGGCATGCTTCTAGCTGTTGTTGGAATGATCATTTACAGTTGGGCTGTGGAGGCTGCAAAACAGTCAAATGCAAAAGCTTTGGCTCATTCAAAAAATAGTTTAACTGAAGAAGAAATTAGACTTCTGAAGGAAGGAGTAGAAAAGACTCCTTTGAAAGATGTCGAACTTGGTGAGACTAAAGAATAGCTAAAAAGGAGCTGTTTTCAGCTGGAGTAGGCTTTTGTATTTTTTCCTGTATAATTTTTCCCCCTTCGGTTTCAGTTCATTTTACCCAACCATCTCTCTGAAAGTTATATCGCAAGCAAGATTTATTGTTCCATCTCTGACCTCCCTCAAATTCTTTTCAGAAATCTTGTTCTGTTCCATTGAAAAGTTCGTTTCTTTACTTCAATTTTTTAATCTTATTTCTTAAATTATTCCTGTGATGTTCAGTAGAGGTCAGATGAAATTGAGATGGAACTATTAGTAAAATTCATATTTTCAGCTGAAAGCTCTCTGTAGTCAGTTTTTTTTTATGATTGGAATATGAGATTTTCTTCAGTTTTTCTCTTTATGGAGGGATTCAAGTTAGATGATTGTGATCTCTGTCGGTTGTATGCTAGAGTCGATTATGGCAATAATGGTAAGCTCAATTGGAGCATCAGGAATGGAATCTTGTTTTACTAAACCGATGACATGTTACTCGGGAATGGTGCCTTAATAAGTATGGCGAAATGAAATTTAGCGATTACTTACATTGCTATTCATTTCAAAATTACTTCATTTTTGGTACTGCAATAGAAGCGTTTTGCAGATGCCATACCGTTTTAGACTGCATTGATGAAATTGTTGGCAACAGGTTACAGAAAATCTTGGGAATTGGAAACTGCGGGTGTCCCATTTTAGTTGACTTTTCTTGTTGACTCCAGTTCATCCGGCTTGTGTTTCCGGTGATCCGCATCAGTCTGTTTGCTGTATGGACCGTGCAAAAGTTTATTGTATTTTTTCAAATTGATAATAATTCTTCATGAGTGCCGTCGGGGAACCAGTTTGGATTAAACTTTCTGATCTGTAGCATTGTCCCTCTACCTTATGATTATTTTTACAGGAAAGAAAACCAAAGTGGACGAACCAAAAGCAGAGAGTGATTCGAGTGGATCAAAACGACACTGTTTTTCTCGCCCTCCATCATCAATCAAATTCAAATTCAAATTCAAATTGCATAATAATAACAAGGAACAATAATGCATTTATTTTTGGTCCGCAGCGTAAAACAAAGATGTGGGTCGGTCCCGCGTTTATTTACATAAACTTTTCTGTTTATTCTATTTTTTCCATCCAGCAGTCTCCCCCAGACTCTTTCCTTCTCTGCTTCTTCCATTAAACCACTTCCTCGTTTCTTCCTTTCTTCTATTGAAATACATTCTCGTGCCACGTGGCATTTTGTTAACGCCGTTACGATGGTATGGGCATTCGATTTTTTTTTTTTAATTAAAAAAGAAACTATTGATAAAAAAATATATATATATAGGGGGAATATGCGACAAGATCCACAATTTGACCATAGTGTTTACATCTAGATCTGCTAATTTTGAATCATATACCCATTTGATTTGATGACCGGACAAGGTCAAATTTAGACCATATATATATATATATAAATATGTTATATTTATACAAACTTGGCAGTTAGAAAAGTAAAAAGCCTAAACTAATAAACATGTGCTGAAAATAATATGTTACGCACTCTATGAGGCAAATATTCCATTGTTGCCTATTGATAAATGAAAGCACCTCAAAATAGAAACCATATATATTGTTGACATGTATAGTGTATAATATTCATGGTATGACAATTAACAATTAATTAGGAACGCCTGAAAACTAAGTCAAAATATTTAACACATAATTTTATTGCAACACCCGACAACCAAATCAACATCTAGAAAAAGTAAAAACAATAATCTTTAATTGGAATAACTCCATCTTAATCAAAGTTTAAACCCTGTTTAATTTTTTTATACCATATCATGTTTCTTATGTTATATTATAATATATGTTGCTATATCATACATTTCACTTCTTTCATGCCAATATTGTATTTGTCTACTTAGTTGGTTTTGGGTGATCACCACTAGTCCCTTTCCTCCCTTTGTCCCCCCCATGGTTATAAACTTTTGTCTGTTTTTCAAATGAATAAATAAATTATATTGATAATAAAATAAAATATTAAAATTTAAATAATGCTCTAATATAAATTAATAAGAATAACTAAGAAAAAAAAAATGAACGTGGAACATGAATACCAAATTTTCCTTCCCATTCGTCTCATATTTTTTTGTTACATTTATTTGTCTCACAATTTCATAATTTTACCCTTTTTTTCAACTTGAAATAATAAAATAAATTTATGGATAAGGTGGATAAATTATTTTTTAAACGGAAATAAAATATTTTTTTGTTAATATAAAGTAATAATAAGCAGTAAAATTCGTAACTATTATATAAAACGTGGCGTGACTTTTTTTTTTTAAATTTTTTTTTTAATTTTTGGTGGTAAGATCACATTGCATAGTTCGTATAAAACAATTCCTCAACTCAGCAGACTTTTTGATTAAAACTAGAGGAAGCTGCAATCTGAAACCAGAGTCAGCGAAGCGGTGTTCTCTGCATTTCTCATGATTGATTATTTTGTTCTGCGGAAGGAGAAGGAAAACAAGCAGTGGTGATCTGATGGAGGATGTGGAAGATATGGATTCGCTGTTTGAGGGAATGGTGTTGTTTACGCCTTCCCAATTGACGGAACACGACGATGGCGATCATGGCCATGATCCGAGCCCAACTACTGCTTCTCAGGTTGAACGCTTATCTGATGCGGCAGTAACGGCGGCCACGACATCTCAATCGCGACAAGATCAGTACCAGGAGCCCCTGGACGAGAATCTATTCTCTGACCTCACTCTCGTGGCTCCTTCCCAAGCCCTAGCAGAACGATCCGATCCGAATCACGATTCTTCATCGCCTAGCTCGACGACGACGAAAGCAGCAACAAAACATGCAGTCTCCCGTCAAGTTTCAAGAAAGAAAAAGAGAGCTGCAGGTTTAAGGATTGGGCATGGCAGAGACTCCCCTTCTCATCACGTTAATACCGTCGATGATGACGTTGACGATGAAGACGGTGCTGCTGCTACGGCTGCTACTCCCGCAATTGATCATCAACAATGCGAAGACGCTGGATTCGGGTTGGAGGTAATCAGGGCACAAGTGTCCGAGAAGTTGAACAATGCTCGACAATTGGCCGCATCCGTGTCCGAAGCGCGGAGGGATGCTATCAGGAAGCGAAGGCAAGTTTACGAGAAGCTCAATTCAGTATCGACCGAGTACAGCGACCTCGAGAAGCAGTTGGAGGAAGCTTGTGAGGCCGAGGATTTCGAGGCTGCTGAAAGAATCAGTGAGAGCCTGGCCGCTGCTGGTAGAGAGAGGCAGGCCCTACTCACTTCACTTCGTGATGCTGAATCCTTTTGTGATGAGGTCGAAAACAAGATGCAAAAGGTTCTCCTTTCCCAGATTGCGGCAGAGGAAGAATGTGCCTCTCTACTTCACCGTTTCTCCACGGTCTGTTTTCTTTCTTTCACGGGTTATGTAATTCGTTCTCCTTTGGTTTCTGTTATCTTTACAGTATAACTTTCTGTTTTTACTTGCCACTCCATCGTGATTCCAACTTCTAAGCCATTGACCTTCTATCAGTCTCCAGGGGCTTGCTTAACCCTTTTCCATTACCAGTAGTTATGTTCCTGTAAATACGTTATGGACTAAACTCTATTTATACGCACCCGACAAGTGCCAGATTCAGGTTGTTTTATGTCTATTTCAGCGACCTTTTCAATGCGTAGATTGGCTTCAGTTAGAATCTTCTTGTACCAACAATGCAATGAATTGTTCTTTTTACTGGACGTATATATTCTACTGCTTATCCGTATTTCATATGAGTAAATATGTCTAAAGCTCTGTTGTTATTAGCTGATGGTCATGCCTCATACATGTTTTATCCTCTCTTAGGATGCTGGAAATAGTGCAAATTTGCTTCTCAAGAAAGCAGAAGCACGTTCTTCTGAAGAAATGCAAAATTGGTTTTCATCAACTGAAGCTGTGGAGGTCAAGAAGATGGAACTAGAAATTGAATCACATATTGTAGATGAAGCTCGCTCTGTATTAAATGATTCAATTGAGCATTCAGTTAAAGATGATAAGAGGGAAAAAGAATTCCTTTGCAAGAGGAAGGACGTGTTGACTAGTGAACTTCAAAAGCTACTTGCTCTGGTGAAAGAGAAGGAAAAAGACATTGAAGAGAATGACCTCAAAATCAAGGAAGTTGATGAAAGGATTGCTGATGTGATCTCTGGATTTCAGGAGGTGCACTCAAGTATAGATGCAAAGCATGGTGGCCTTCAATCAGCTCTTTCCATGATGGCCACGGAGAGTGAAGCCTTGTCACTGAGAAAAAAGGAAATTGATAAGTTCATCATTTCTGAAGAAGATAGAGCAGCAAAACTTAGAGAACTTGCTGAGATTTCTACGGAGGAAGCAAAGTCATTTGAGGAAACTGTTTTGCTGAGAAAAGATTTGATGTCATCCATCATGAAGTGCAAAGAAGACAAAGTGAGGCTCACAAAGATGGAAGATAAACTTTCTGAGGATGTCCAATTGCTCCAGCATGAGGCTTCAACTGCTAGAGCTTCCTTACAGGTTCATTTTTCATCTACTTTTGTTTCTATAAGCCGGAGAAAACGGGATACACTGTTAAAGTTTTTTCATCTTTTTTTTTGGCGGTCAATTGTATCTCTTAGTAGTTATAGGAGTTTCCCTACAGTAAGAGGAATTATATAGTAAGCCTAATTCACCTGCAGAGAAATATCATTTGGAGATCCAAGTGTTCTCTAAGGGATAAATCAATCGCTCCTGTTGGTTCAACCTCCAACTTGCACAAATTTTCTCCTTAAAATTAATAAATTCCTTATTGGTTAGGTATTCCAGATGACACTACTGGAGTGCCATAATTTTTCATACAAAGATGTATATTCTCAAATTTGTTCCCTTTGGATGTGTGCAATTCGGTTTTTTCTGTCCTTTAACATATGTATCTGAACCAGAAACATTCGGTGCATATTGTGGAGGTGTTTCTTGAATATGTCTACCATTAAGGAAAGCCATATATTACAAAGCCTGATTGAATCCACAACCACAAACACTGGCATTGATTTTAGGCATCAGAATTATTTTGTAAAGGAAACTTTACTAATAGGCCAATTGTTATTATATTAAACTGTTATTGTAGTACTGCATCCCAAACTTCACTGCTGTATAATTTTAGGCACAAGCACTTGCATTGATTTTAGGCATCAGGATTATTTTGTAAAAGAAACTTTGCTAATAGGCCAATTATTATTATATTAAACTGTTATTGTAGTTCTGCATCCCCAACTTTACTGCTGTATAATTCTATTCATTATCATTGTCCATTGATTGACAATGAAATTCATTTTGCAATTCATTTTGCAAATTTGGGAATTGCGATTGATCCGTAGGGTGGGGTCAATCACAAACAATAAACTGGCCTCAAGCTATGAGTTCAAATCAAATTTTCTAGCATGTAATGAAGGAGGATATTCTTGAGCAATTACATCTCTTGCAGTCACGGTGAATGAGGGTCCATCTTTTTTTTTTCAAGGCATCCTAAGATCTTAGACAAGGACATCTATTATCTCCTTTACTATTTATTATTGTCATAGAAGTTTTGAATAAATTATTGTTACGGGATAGAAAGATGGTTTTGTTTAGAGGACTAAAGGTGGAAGAAGTAGAGCAAACAGAGGAGATAACCCACTTATTTTTTTGCAAATGACACCTTAATGCCTTGTGAACTGGATGAAAGCGCATTACTCGATATCAGACATGTTCTATTGTGTTTCCAAGCAGTTTCTGGCCTCAATATTAACTAGCTAAGTCTGAAATGGTGAGTTTGGGAGATAGGAGTAATGCTACTAGCTTCGCAAGAGTCTAGGAATGCAAAAGGGTTGAGTTGCCAATTAAGTACTTAAGGATGCCTTTGGGGGAGATAGGAGTAATGCTACTAGCTTCGCAAGAGTCTAGGAATGCAAAAGGGTTGAGTTGCTGATTAAGTACTTAAGGATGCCTTTGGGAGCAAACTACAAAGATGTGAGGATGTGGGACCTTGTGGTGGCAAGATTTGAGAGGAGATTGGCAGGATGGAAGAAAAATTTACTGGGCGGACAACTTACTCCCTTTAAAAGCACGCTAGCTGATCTTCTATTTATTATATGTCTCTTATGACCATCTTAGTGAGTGTTACCAAGATATTGGAATCAATCCAGTATAGATCCTACGGGGCGACTCTGAGGAGAAAAGAAAATACCATTTGGTGGCTTGGGAAGAGGTCAAAAGACCATTGTATCAGGATCATTTGGGTTCGAGATCTGTTGTTAAGATGAATCAGGCTCTACAGGGCAAGCGGATATAGCGGTTCGTGAAAGAAAACGACACTCAATGGACTAGGGGGGTAGGGTGAAGTTTGGTACCATGAGTAGAGGATGGTATTCAAGAATTTTGACAAGACTTCATGGGAAAGGGGTGTGGAAAAAAATAAGTATGGGAATGGATAAAATTCAAACCTATTAGGTGGAAAGTTGGCAATGGGGTGAGAATAAGTTTTTGGATGGACTCTTAACTTGGGGAGGGCACACTCAAAGATAGGTTTCTCCATATTTTTGCAATTGCACGGCAGGAAAACATCTCTGTCCATGAGGCATTCAGAGATACTGGGGAGGAAGGGAGTGACACTGAAGTTAATGAGAAATCTCAATGAATGGGAAATGAATGAATACAAAACTCTCCTAAGTTCAATATCGTCTACATCTTTAAATGGGAGTGATGACCAACTGGTTTGGAGCGTCAACACTATAGGGAGATTTGTTGTTAAGTCTTTCTATAATTACTTGGCCGAGAATGACCCTAGAGATTAAGTTTCCCTTTTGGCAAATTTGGAAGGTTAATACTCCTCCCAGAGTTGCTTTCATTGCTTGGGAAACAGGGTGCAGATGTATCTGTACTATTGACAAGTTAATTAAGAAGGGGAAAGATGATGGTGAATGACTGTTATCTTTGCAGGAGGGCAGAGGAGAAATATTTTTTCTGGGTGTCCGCTTGTGTACAATCTTTGAATCGTGTCATATGGGTTTTTGGGGATTAGGTAGGTAATACTTGGTACATTAAGGGATGAGATTTGGGCCTGAAAGGGAATTAGTGGGGGGAAAGAAACATGTGACCTTATCCCCCTTGCTATATTTTGGGTTGTGTGGAACGAAAGAAACATGAGAGCTTTTGAGAGAGTGGATGGGGATCTTTATATGGTTAAAGATAGGTGGTTCCAAACCCTAGGTTTTTTGGTTATAGGTCATCCTGTATTTTTCATGAAAGATCTTCGGGGAATTTATTGACATTATGATATATATGCAAATATTTTTGTATACAGGTTGACCCCTTCTTGTTGCTTGTAATTAATGATATATACCATATTTTTATTTTTTTAAAAAAGAATTCAGATCAAAATAATAAAAACAGGGAGATGTAAGACATTTTCTATGTAATTTAGACTAATTGATTAGATATTGAGTTTGCATACATTTTATTTGTGCTCTAACTGTGCAAGTGTGTAATTCTAACATTCTTGACTCAGGGACAAGAAGATTAAATCATTCATGCATCTAGACCCAACTAACCTCTGTTTGGCTCAGAAGAAAAGTAAAAGTACTTAGTGGCTCAGAAGAAAAGTAAAAGTACTTAGTAAATGATTCTGGAGAATGTGATCTAATTACAAGGAAAAGACATACCTAGACTTCCAAGCTTCCTTTCGATTTACAGAAATTTCTTAGATTTTGATCATTCATAGAGACAATTACAAATCTTTTTCTAAACCCCCCATTAGAGCTTTCAGGTTTCCTTTCTTCTGGTCTCTGTTGCTGAGCTCTCTTAAAACCCAGCTCCTTTCTCCCTTTGTCCTCTCCCTCCTTTTCCCCTTCAATTGACTGGCTCTCCTCTCCTTAAACCTAGGAACTCTTCTAAACCGATTTGCTTTTCTGTGCTTGCCCTCAATATCTCCTTTGCTCCCAGCTCTCGACCTCTGTTTTCCTTGCTTGAAATCTCCCTCCAGTTTTATAGGAGAAATCAAACGCTTGCTCTGCTCGATTTCTTTTCTCCAGGTCTCGGGTCCAACTCTTTTGCTTCTGACCCCTTTCTGCTTTGAGTCAGTGCTTCCATCTTTGCCTCTTCTGCCTCTCAAGCCATACGTTTACCTTTTCCAAGTGCTTATCATACCTAAGCCTCCTTTCTCTTCTCAGATTCAATCAAGCTTCTGCCACAACAGATGCCTGTTTTTGTTTTTTCTCTTTCTGTTTTCTTTCACCTCAATGAGCACTTGCATGTTGGATCTTTCTGATACAGTTTCTCTATCTCATCCTTTTCTTCTACCTTGTGTTCTTCATTTTGCTCGTTTCCTCCTAAACAGAGAGATCTGATTGCTGATAACGAAAATTTTGTGCAAATATACATGGTGTGCATGCTTGCCTTTTGTTTCTTGCACCCTCCCCAATAACCTCTCATTTTAAAAGAGATTTGGATGAGTGATATGGTGTGGTCATGTCAGACAACTGGAGAATGGAAATTTGAACTGTAGATTGAATTGGTCCTTATTATAAAAATAAATTTGTTTCTAAAATTTCCAGGACAAAGTACCAATTTCGTTCTTGAATAATAGGCTATGTTGCAATTTAGTTCTAAAATTTTTTTCTTAGAATCCAGGCCTTCAACTTACAAAATTGTTTGAGAACGGTAATTTTTCAATGGAATCTTTTACAGAAATAGTGAAGTTCTTTCTATCTTACTTGGGTGACATAAAAAGTGGCTTAAAAATATATTACTTCTACTTAGGAGTAGGAAATTAGCAAAAATCCAAAAACTTGTCATAGCAGGCCTCTTCTTCTTTCCCAATTTTCATTATTAACATCTGCATGATTGAAATAAACAGATTAATTATTTATGATTAAGTTTATTAAGGTCAATCTTTAGTATACTTCCAAACTTCATAGGAAACAAAGAAAAGGATAAAGCAGAAAGAATATCTATTATTTCCTGTCAAAATTTTTATAGTTGTATAAGAAATCACAAAGTGAAACATTTTAATAAGTTCAAGGATAAAATTATAATGGAAAAAGTTTATGGAACCAAATTACAACATATGTTATAGCCTAGGGACTAAAAGGATAATTTTCTAAACTTTTATCAATATTTTTGCATTTTTTTAAAAATAGAAATTTGCTGAGAAAATATCTGGACATGACTGTCATAACAAGGAGCTCAGTTAACCATTTGTTATTTTAATCAATGAATCTTAAAACAAACATCTATTTGAGTGGTGGTGTTCATTTTTCATGTTAAATAATTAACTGATGGCCTTAAAGTTCATTATCTGGCAATTTTACTTGTCGAGTTAATCAACAGATTAAAGACCTCTGATTGTCCTTTTTATTAAGAAGTTAATGAAGCTGACATCTGCAAATTCACTCAAGACCCATTCCTTATAGATTTTCTTTCTGTTGCTTCCAGGAGCTATCTTCAACAAAGTCAAGCATCCAGCAGAAAGTAGCATCCTTTAAGCAGAAGATCTTTTTCATAGACAAAAGGGCTCCAGAACTGGAGATGGAAAAGAAAGTTGCTGCTGCTGCAAGAAATTTCAAGGAAGCGGCAAGAATAGCAACGGAGGCGAAGTCATTAAGTGTTGAAAAGGATAACATACAGATGGAAATGGAAAAAGCCATTTCAGAGTTAAAGAAGCTGGAGGATGATGTCAAAGAAATTGTTGACAGGTTGCAGGAGATTGAAAGATTAACTTTATCCAAGGAAAAAGAGGTTGCAATTGCCAGATTCCAGAGGTTGCTTATTGATTTCGGTGCTACTACAGCTGAAAGAGCAGCTGCTCTAGAATTGGGTGATATCGAAGAAGCTAACCTTCTACTTGTAGAGGCTGAAGCAGCTGATTCAGAAGCAAAAAAACTTCAACCAGTATACAATCTTCAGCGAGAGGAGTTTGTAAATTTACCAAAACACTTCATATCCATGGAACTTGTAGCCAATCTTGGCCGGAAGCAGTTAGCTGAATTGGCAGAATCTGTTAATCTTTCTGCAGCTTGATTACCGACCTGATTTGAGATAATTATCAGATGTCAACGTTTCAGAGAGAACCATTATCAGAATTTTCATCTACCCCATTACTGTGCCTGCCCTGGGAGTGGGAGTGTCAGTTACAAACATATCCAGATTGTAGAGATGAATTCATGTGCAATACTACAGTCTTGTGACGACAGGTTCGAGATCTGGATCGATTTTTTGCCTCCCAGGTGCTTCATGTTTTGTCAACTTGGCACTTGGCAAGACCAGCTTACATAAAATACATACAGATCCATGGAAAGGGAAAAGAAAACGAGAAGGTTTTTACTGCTCTGATGTGTCTTTACCCACAAAATGCGTTCTACTTTCTGAAACCATTTCCTTAGCAAACTGTAAGTTTTCTTCAGTGATTGCATAGTCAGATATGTTTTGGCCTTTTCTTTTTCCATCAAACTCTACATTTTTGTGTTATTTTGTAATTTTAAAATGAAACTCTTTCTTTTTTCTTTTTCTTTTTCTTTTTCTGTTAGCACATCTCCACTGATCTTTAAAAGAAGCATGTGATAGTATTCAAAGGTTCTTCTAACAGTATGATTGATGACCCAGTTTGGTTGGTCCCATGAAGCAATGGAGTTTTTTGGAACTTAGGTAAAGAGGGAATAACCCAGACCAAGGTTTTCTATATGTAGAAGAAGGATGACCTAGATCAAGGCTTTTCTTTCAGTAAGCCAATAAGTCTTGGTCTGAGTCTTACTTGTCCGATATGGAAAATCAATGATCTGGTTCTTCTGATACAAGTCCCAAGAAACTTCATGGCTTCATAGGGAACCAAGCTAATCGAGCTCTATTTGGGAGGGGAACTCACAGATTCAGCTTTACCTAAAACTATGTTATGGTCCTGATTTACGGATCTCATTATAGGATTTTACTAACAGTAAAAGTTTGTTAATAGAGAATCTAGCAATTTCTTGATTAAGAAAGTATTCAACACTTCTTCATAAATTTCTTCTTGCCTAAAATTACATAACACATTTGACCTGTTCTTTCTAATACTCGTTCACCCGCTGAACACATCACTTCTTCCCCCTAATACACCATAGTATTATCTATAACATTACTTACGTCATGAAAAAATTGCATTTGCCTCAAGTGCAAAATGAGAGAAATATTTTCAAGGGAATCTTTTAGCCTATTGTTCATCTTCTTCAGGAATTTCTAGGGTTTTTGGGTGGATAAGGTCCATCTGCATTGGGTCTACAATTTTTAGCCAAAAGAGTCTCTTTTGCATAGGCGCCTAGGATGGAAATTTTTTGTCACAGTTGAAGCACAAATGTTGAGCCTGTCTTCTCTCCAATTCTGGCACCAAAAACCGCTTCATTGTGAGCAGTTGAGACACAGAAGTGTGACTTGAACCGGGCTAGTCAGTGGATAGAAAAGGCTGTGGAAATCCAACTTCATATAACAAGGAACAAAGTTCTAATCTCAATCACCCCCTGTCAAAGGATGAGTGCAATGTCCCCTGCCCGGTTGTACACTGCCCTCTCTAGGATCATTCCTGGCGAAACGGCCAGAGAATAATTCCTCTAAATGGTTGGCCAAAAGATCAAATTTGTAGTGGTCCTGCTCGCGACCTCACGAGAAGTTTTAAGGAAGGATTCAACCATAGATTGTAGATCATTCATAACTTCTAGATCTTATACCAAATCTTTATGATCTTAATTTATGGATTTCGTTATGAGATTTTTGTGGGCTCGTTAAGAGAGACTGTAACAATCTATGATTTTTTGCTAGTTATATGAGTTTGTCAAGAGAGAATCCAATAATCTCTGAATAAGAAAGTACTCAAAACTTTTTAATAAATTTTTTCTTACCTAAAATCTGTTAAAAGAAGACATCCTGTATTTAAACAAGAGAAAAAGTAATTATCTGGAAGTGATTTCCAAAATTAAATACCCCATTGCCTTTATCTAACTGTTGCTCTCCCATGTCTATAATTAACTCATAATTTTACACATAACATGCACTGATCTATTCTCCTTAATACATTTGTCCACCTGAATTAACACACCATTTATTCTCCTTAATACACTATAATATTTACTCATAAGAAGCTCGTTGGGAGCCAAATGAGTAAATAGATTTGACTTAATTTTCAATAAAACCAAACGGCTCTTTAGGCCATAGAATGTGCTTAGTTAAAATATGCGGCCACATAATAAGCATGATGTAGAAAAACCACTGTGCTTCAGTCCAGTGGCTACTTATCTCTACCCAGTACAGTAAGGTAGGTTCACACAGCTGTATTCTAATTAGCTTTTGATAAAATTCCTATCAGAGATAAAAAAATATCACGTAGAGGAGCTATCTTATGAATGCTCGAATTGTTGAAGAGGGAAAAAGAATAGATGAAACCTGAAGCAAATAACCTGGATTAGACAACTAAATAAAATTTGAAAGTAATATTTTTCAGTTTCAGTCAAAATAAATCAAATTTCAGTTTGGAACTTGATGAGTCTAATTAATTTTTATCGCGGTCATTACTTCTTTTTTCTAAAAGTTAATTTTAGTTTAATTTGTAGATCATCAAACTGGTGATGCCAGCAAAAGAAACTTATTCAGAACATCAAACCACAGTAATTAAGCACAAACATGGAGTAAATTGCCAGAAGGTATACATTGAATCGCACCATTTTCTCTTTATTCCTAAGCTTTGTTCATTACTAAGCTTTGTTCGTTACAAAAACAATACAATATAAGCTACATTATCATTTTGCAGCAACCTTCAGGTACAGAACTAACAATAAACACGGGGACATGGTCATCTCCTTCTCGATTTTTACATGTATCAAGACGGCCTGCTTTTATTGCCAAACAACGGGAGAGAGACCCAAATAATAATTCCACTCTACTCTCTCTTCATTAAACCCTACTAATGAAGAATCAAGCTGCATGTTCTGGTTTATGTAACAAAAGGCTTATTAACCGGAGGACCTATGGTTGAAACTCCTCTGAATTTCCTCAAAGACAAAAGTAACACACATCATCTTCCCCACCAGCCAATCACGCTGAGAATAAATGCACTAATAATTACAATCCAACCCACATTCCTCAAGAACTGGACCATTTGATCTGGCCAAGAATGGATCAATTCGAACCCATAGAAGGGAGAAAATGGAAGCAAGTAAAATTGACCAGACAATGACAATTGTAGGAGTTCTGTTCTGCCGACCCAGCAGACCCTTGAGGAAAGGGTATAGGTGAACAATCACCCAAAATGCAAAGAAGAGCTTACCAAACAGAGGCCCCCATGAATCATACCCATTGTTTATCGCATTTGAGACACCAGCAACAACTCCTACCAGGTTTATTATCAACAATGTGGTGGGGGGGATAAGCAATGTAGTCCACTTAAATGCATATAGCTCTGAGAAATCTTCATCATCCCCTGCTTTTGAGGTCACGGTGAAGTTGGTATCAACACCAGCTAAAACTTTCAGAAGTCCCTGGAATACGGCAAACAGGTGTGCTGACACCCCTCCAATCACCCAAAATTGTTCATTCCTCCACCATTCATCAATTCCAACTTCACTCCATCTCATTTCCAATATACTTGTTGCAAAAATACAAATGAAGAGTGACAAAAACCACAAGCTAGCCGCATTGCTTAGCTGCAATAGAGAATATATAATTAAAGCAGTGTAGCAAGCAACATTCAATAATGAGAAGCAATTTTATATGCATTCTCCTCTGGTTATATAACAAAAACTTCAATACCTCTGGTGTGATGAACTTCCCTGTCAACAAGCACACAGCAGGGAGCGTACAATATGCCAGCAGAGGAATTGATGTCCATGGATATACAGTAGCATTTATGTAAGACAGACGCTCTAGCCACTTTAATCCCCCTCCATAACCATACCAAATTGGACAATGCCTGCTCAAGAATATTTCAATGGATCCAAGAGCCCAACGCAGAACCTGATGCAAACGATCAGAAAGATTGATGGGGGCAGACCCTTTAAATGCTGGCCTAGCAGGAATGCAATAGATGGACCGCCATCCATGGCAATGCATCTTAAAACCTGTCAAAATATCCTCTGTAACTGAGCCATAAATCCATCCGACCTGGATTGAAGAAAAAGTGAGCCATGCCAATCTCAAGTTTATGTTAATTATATTTTTCTCAAGGAAAAAAAAAAGAAAAGTTTACAGTGATCAAAAGAAGGAACCATGTAAACAAGAGCATAAAAGGACTACAGTTACCTCTTTGCCCCATTCTGTTCTGTCTTCATAGCCACAGCTGATGACATGGATGGCTTCTTTTAGAAGAGACGCAGGGCTGGCACTTCTCAGCATTCCACCATCCTCTAGCAGGGTGGATGCCACAAAAACTGGAGATTGTCCAAATTTATTTTCTAATTTCTTCTCAGACATAACAGAAAAATCTTCACTTCCAGTCCCTGCATGGAATTTCTTCCATAGTCAGATGAGAATATATCTGAGCCAGCTGGCAAGAAACCAATATTAGAACGAAAAGTAAACTTGAATCTACCTCAGAAAGTATAGAATGTTAAGAAAAATTAGTATAGAATGTGACATCAAATATTTTGAGCTGAAAGAATGCACTTAAATTTCAACACAGTGGATTCCCAAGTGTGTAATTTTTTGTTAGTATCAAGCTTTATTACTTCTCCAAGCATGCTGTCTGGGTAGAACCAAGAAGATTCATTGTCAATCTTGTTTTTGCTTCTCCAGAAACAGGATTTTTAAAAAACCCACAAAATATCTAACCAATTCGCATAATAATGGTAAAAAGCACCTTGAGTATGATGCATACCCTGAGAGTTTCCAGAACTTTAGCCATTCTGTAACTAGTGTCTATTTTGCAGGTTAAAAGTTTAGATAGAGACTAAAAAACCAAAAAGGTTACCTTCAATGCCTCCCTCAACACCTTCCATGGAGGGTATAAGTGCTAATGCTTCAATATCTCCTTTTCTTGAATTCTTTTTCTTCAGCTCATTTTTAGGTTTGTTAGTCTTCTTCTTCTTTCTCCTTCCAGAGCAACAGGATTCACAACAGCACCACTTAGGCAAGCAGTTGCACGTCCTGGTAGCTGTTTTTTTTGGTTTTGGAGCATCATAACCATAAAGTGCCTGCCTTCTGAATACACATCCAGTCCCAACATAAATAGGTCCTTGAATGCCATCCAAACCCTTCATATTAATCTGAAAAGGAGGAGCTACGAATTAGATGTTGAATGAAGATAAACTTAAGCTGTCTGAGAGTTTGGATAGATGCATGCTTACATCAAAGAATACAGTGTTTCGGTTTGCATATCGATCATTCTTGTCGATACCATCAAATCTTTGTGGGAACTGGACGTAGCACACCCTTATTCCTACGAGTGGATCCATCATGAAACACATGGCTTCTCTGAGAGCCTTACTGTTGTTAATGTAGTGATCACAATCCAAATTCAACAGATAAGGTGCATTTGTAAGTACTGCAGAGACCCTGACCTGCTTTGACAGATAGACATACAAGAATGTCAAAAAGAAAATCACACAAATCATTTTTTGCTTAACCACTTACCAGTGAATTCATTGCCCCAGCTTTTTTATGATGATTAAAACCCGGCCTCTTTTCTCGAGAGACATACACCAGGCGTGGTAATTCATTTCCATCTGTATCATGTCCTCCACTTTGCCCTAGAAAAACCTACCAGTGACTGGTGTTATATGTAACACTGGAATGGGTTATACTAAGAACTGTGGGACATACAAAATCAATATAACATACTTGAATCATCCCAGGATGATCACGAACATTATTTCCCGGCCACGCGGTGCCATCCTGCATTGTCCACCCTTCTTCCGGAACTTTTTGAGCCTTGGCAACTAAGGCATTGATTCGAACTTTAAACTCTTCATACTCTCGCTATATGTCCCATAAGTAATACATCAATGCTAAAAATCAACAAAGAATCACGAGAGAAAATCCAAATGTGGAAATGTTACTACCTTCATTTCTCTTCTTTCCCTGATAAATGATGGCAGAACCTTATCTTTGAGATAGTCAATCTTTTGAGTAAAATACCACTCTGGTGCCCGTGGCTCAATATTAAATTTTTTACAGAAAGGTACCCATTTTTTTGCAAATTCAGATGTTTCTGAAAGTGCCTCAAATGTCAGCATGGCAGCTCCATCATCAGAAACATAACATGAAACTTTGTCAACAGGATAATCTACTGCAAGAATTGATAGAACTGTATTTGCTGTCACCAATGGGGGCTCTTTTAACGGATCAACTGTACTCACAAATATATCAACTGCAGCGAGTTGAGAAGGCTGGCCCTCTTTCTCATATCTGACGAAGAGGCAATAAGCGAGGCAGTCAATAACCAAAGGTCAGAATGTGAGCTAAGTTAGCAGGAATATGAATATTATATTACTAACCTCAAGGACAACCTGTCTAGATAAGTTTCCCTCTCAATAGGGAGCCACTTAGGGAATTGATCGAGAATCCATGAAATAGCAAACCAAATCTCACAAATAACAGATACAAGCCACAGTATATAGGCATCAGTAACAGGGTGTGTGATTCGATAGTGGAAAAAGAATCCAAGGACCACAAGTCGAATTATGATGATCATGCGGTATGGGTTGAGTTGGCTTGATGGGATAGGCAGCTTTCTTGACAATGGTTGTCTTGCCTCATCCATACTGATAAACAAGCAGCAAATCATATCAGATGAACAATGAAAGGTGGAATACAGTTCACATCAAAATTGCATCATTTGCCCCATGCACACAAGTATATAAATAAGAGACGGCTATAAGATGTAGCTTTACCAGGTGGTGGAAATATAAAGAGTTTGGTCCTAAATTGCATGTGATTAGTGTTTCCATCTTAATTGCACTTTGATGAGTACAAACTCGGTCGTATTATTTGATTTTCACATGTATTTTCCTGTAGAAAATTAGACATTGCCATTTGTCCAGGAATTGCCATTTTTAGACTGTATAACTGTTGTGGGATAAACTTTATGTATATTTTCTCCTTAGTGTCACTTCTCTGGTCCCAACGCAGTAAAAGGGAATTAAGTCTTAGTTGATTGGAGGAATTTAAAGGATTTTTGGACTGTACAATTAGGGAAATGAATCTGTTTTTTTCTTCTTGACTTGTTTTTTCTACTCAATCTTTATTCTCTTTGTAAGATTTGGTTTTTAACTTGGTATTTTCTTTTATTTCCTTAGATTTTTTAGATTTTTCCCTCCAAAGGATCTTTTATATTGCTGATATAGTCAGCTTTGTTACACCATTATCTTGTTCGCCCATGTCATGAAGTTTATCCTAAAGTATGGTTAACAAATTAAAGTAGGTTAAGAATTTGGGATAACAAAGATATCCTACCCACCAAATGAGTAGTTTAGAGTTTAACTCTTTCTCTTGTAGAAGGTATAGCAAATCCTCAGGGGAAAGCTCCTTGCACATAATATAACCTAATTGCATTAAAAAAAAAATGACTTATGTGACTTATGTTTCGAATGAAAAGAGAATCTGGAAATATAGCTTCCGGAAAAGTTAGGCAGATAACCAAGAAAGGGATAAATTGTTTGCCACTGGTAAACGATCAGGTAAAACTATTTTGTCAAAAATAGGACGGTCCTACTTATTTCTGAATTATGTAAAAACTGGAACGATAAAAATTAGCATTGATTATGCATAAATGGCTCTTTCAGACCAAGCAACGGCCTGGACTTCATGTCTATAATTAGAACTCTTCATTATACGAATTTATTGCACATTAATGAGGGTTCATTAAATATTTTGAGCCCTAGAAGCGTATTCACTTCAAAAAGTTGTGAGCTTTGTTTGTTAGCTTTTGTTTTGAGAGACTTCCTATTTGTATACCCCTTATTCTCTAGTCTCTTGAGTATATTACCAGATCTTAAGTGCTTTAATACATAGAATTTAGTTATAATTTTTATATTTGATAAATAATTGAATCACTTTATTTCTACTATCACTTCTCCAACAATGAATTTGTATTTTCACTTACTAAAAGAGAAATTACAAAAATACGTAACTTGAATTGGATATAGAATTAATTCGGAATTAAAATGTTATTTTCATTCAAATCTCTAACTCGTCTATTCGTATAGACGTGAAATTTGAACCAAATGCAAAATAATTGTCTTCTTAATAAAAATTGTATTTGAACTAATACCGGAAGTATTAGTGTGTCAAGTTGTTGGTGATGGTAAACAAACTTCAAAGGATACTGCCTGAAGGAGAGGCCAGAAACAGAAATTGCAGAGGAACCTTTATAAATCCATGCCACTGCTTTCCCTCGTTTATAGCATATAGTTTACTTGCCACGAACTTGTACCATTAGCTCTGTTTATTTGGGCTTGTTTGTGTATTTAGAATTAACTTTTTAAGCAAACCAATTTGACCTCTCTCTTGGCTTGCCACGTATCTTGAAATAAATGAATGTAAAGTTTTATGTTTGTTTTTATCCACTAAACTTTATATTTTTTTAAAAAAATTATTTTCTCTTTTTGGGGTGTCAAGTCTATGCTATCCTAATCTGATTGATCACTTGGGAAGAACAATATAAATAGTATCATTTTTTTTTTCTAAATGCAAGATAGAGAAATCACTAAAATTAATTTTCTAAAAGTTTACCAACTTCATAAAAGAGATGAATAGATCAAACCGAAATAGGCTTGGTTAAATAATTGAGGCAGATGATTATGCAAGAAAAATTAGGTAAAACATCCAATAAAAAGAAAAAGGAAGAAAAGTAAAAGAGAGCTTACAGAGGGAGATCAGGGCCATCACCATCATTATCCCAATCTTTGCCGCCACTTTCATTTTTCATCATATGCAACTTTTCTTGTTTCTGCTTCCAGCTCTCCATTCTCTCTTTCCAGGCAACACTTCCATAACCATAAGCAGCCAAGTCCTTGGAAGGATCCATGGATCTGGGTTGCACTGCAAAATAAGAGCGGAAGTATCAAGCTCATGTCAAGGTTTTGACCAAATCACTTGCTAATCATAGTAGCTGAGTAAATTATAACCTGGGATACCAGAATCTGAATGGGGAAAAGGATGATGGATCTTTTTGGCTCCACCACCCACGAGTGAAGAAGGAACCAAGGCATGTTGTTCGGGCGGGATATCATCAATCTGTGCCCACAAATCAACAGAAATCAATTCTTTTTCTTTATAGGGAAAATACAGTTAAGACTTCTATAAAAGAACAACAACATGAAGAGGGAAAATGGGGGAAAAAAAAGAAAGAACCGTTACCATTTGACCGTTAGTAAGAAGAGGAAGTTGAGGAATTTCGTTAGCTGCATAAGGGAGATTTGAGTCGGAGAATCGGCCATAGCCCAGGTGGGTATGAAGCACTGCATCAGCAAAAACACCATTCTGCAACTCCTGTCTAGTCCCTCCATCAAAATTGAGCTCATTCTCCAAGTCATCGATGTCGTCTTCTTCTTCATCTCCCTCGACTCTAGCACAGCCTGTTTATTCACAGCCACTCACGAATCATGATTGAGCCGACAGAGGAGTGAAAAACCAAGTAACAGAGGACATACCCTTGAGACGTTTGAATCTGGTCTTGCATTGGGGACAGACTTGATTGCCTTCTCTCCTCTCGTACTCGTAGCAAGTCCTGCAGATGGGAAAAGCACATTCGTTGCAGGCGACGAACGGCTCTCCGTCAGTCGTCAACCCCACGTCGTCCCCGCATATATGGCAAATTTGCCCGCGTAACTGCTCCGCCGGCTTTGGCTGCAGAAAACCCACCCAACCAAAAAGTTAAACACTAACTCAGAGAGAAAAATCAAAGCAACTGAGTATCAACTAGTTCCGGGTTCCTCAATTTCCGGCTAGTAAAGCATGAGGAAGTCGAAGAAAAGCTTACGACAGAGTCACCGTCTCGACGGATGACAACAAGCTCGTTCCGGTTGTGAGAGCCAGCCACCAATCCAGCACTTACCTCCATTGCCTCCCGCCAACTCACCTTTTCCTCTCAGTTACCTCTTTCACTAAAAAAATCCAAATCCAAAACTGGTTTACAGTTGTAATTCACGGAAACAGAGCAGTTTTCTCCACGGGCTAGATCTACACAAACGCGAGATCTAAGTAATCCCTTTAGCCACCAACACCTTTCTGCAAAAAAAGCAGGTGACGATAGATAGAACCAGTCACAGACCAATCAGCTGAGAAAACAAAAATGGAGACCCCACCTTCCTTCTCCTTCTCTTTTCTCTCTGGGCGTAGTGGCCCCTTGTCTCCCCCGCATGTCTCTCTCCAGCCCTTCGCTTCTTCTGCTCATCCCAGTCATCAATAAAAAAATCTAAGGACTTCCATTTTACCTCAACGAACAGTATCTTCTTGTTTGTTTGAGGTCCAATAATTGTTTCTCTTTTTTTCAAATCACAGTTGTAATATTCTCAAATCAGCATAGGAAAGATCGCCAAATATGGTAAACTGTATGGTGACAGCCGACAGGTGACTACTTTCTGTTCGGTCCCGTAGAAAGATTTTACGTTGCCACCCGTTTCTAAATTCGAAACCTGCCAAAAATGTCTAATACAAAGTTTTAAATAAACTATAATCCTTAATTGCAATTTGTGGCAAATCATATATTAAAAAAATCTTATGTACGGAAATAACATGTTATTCTTTTTTTAAAAGAAGATTAGTGTATAATTAACAATAACTTGTTTGTTCCGAGAACAAAATTAGAGGTGGTCTAATTTAATTTATAAAAACAAATAAATAATCATTTTTCAAAAAAAAAGTAAATTAATCTAATTATGTTGCAATACAGCAATAAATAATTAAATTGAAAAAGGAAGTTGTCTTAACTTAGTTTTATCGACTACAATTTTTTAAAAAATTATGTGATTGTGGATTCAATTTTTTTAAAAAAAATAATAATAATTAAATATTTAAAAATAAGCATTTCAGGAAAAAAAAAAGTAAAAATATAGTAATTGTTAGCATCTTTCTCATTCAATCAATCGGTCCTACAAATAATTAAATCATATGTCATTGTTGTCTTTACGTTTTATTTTCAATATTTTTTTATATTCGAAATTTCATTTTTTTTTTTTGTAATCAACTTGATTTTAACAAAATAATTACTTTTTTAATAACAGCTATTTAATTTTTGCAAAAAAAAAAAAAACTCAAATCAAATTGACATGTGTATTTATTATACATATATATATATGAATTAAACAGTACTATTAAGATATAAAAACAAGCCATCTTAGCTCGACTGTGAAGTGCATGATTATTAGCTATGTAATCATGAATTCGATTCGTACGTACGACCAGATGATTAAAAATCTGTGTTTTTAAAAAAATTAGTCATGCAAATAATTAAATTACATGTTATTAATTTTTCTTTTTGTGTTTCATTTTTCAATGTTTGTTATATTTAATGTTTTATTTCTTTCTCGTAATATATACTTTTTTCTAACAATAATTAGTTTGTTTTTTTACAAGAATAATAATCATCGTTTTAAATAACAACTGCTTTAATTTTAGCAACAAAAAAAAAAAGAAAAAACAAGTCAAATTGGTATATATAAGAATTAAATTTTTATTTCAAAACTGTTAACATTTTTATTTAGGTTTTAAGTATTAAATTTATTAATAATAATTAATTTAATTATATGTTAAATGTTATATTTAATGTCATGTAGTATTAAAAAAATAAATTTATTTTTACAAAAAGAAAAAAATGCGTCCTTCTCTTCCCTCTCTTCTTTCTCACCCCTTCTCTTAATCTGTCTGCTTCTCTTTCTTCCTTACTCTCTCTTCAACCTCCCACCCAAACAAAGCATTAATAATATTGGGATTTCCCTCTATCGCAGCCCCAACCACAAGCCCCGTCGGAATTCCACCAGATAATGACAAAGGAATAAGGGCCAGGCTGTGACAAGCTGGCGGTGCGGACTCCTGGGAGGCGGAGGAAAACTTTGACGGAGGGAATAACATGGAAGGATACGAAAGTGGAGAGGGGGTTAACAGATGAGGCGATGTTGAGGGAGTCGGAAGAGGCGAGGAGGGCAATGGTGCAGGAAGGATAAGCTGGGGAGGAGCAAACGAGTTATTAGGTTTAGGGAATAGAGAGGGCGGTGGGGTGAAGGGAGAAGGGAAGGCAGAGAGAAAGAGAGAGGAATATTATCTATTTTTCCTTTAATGATCTAACAGTTTATATAGCTTACTAAAATAAGTCTTATACCTAATCTGAAAATCTAAAAGCTAATCGATATTAATTATAAGTGCAATGGGAACTACTGCAAGGGTCCAACATATTATTCATTACAAGTGCAGAGCCATGCATCGAACTGAGATTTCATTCTACAAATTTACTGCCTCCATACAGAAAAGTTTTCTTTTTAACAAAAAAACAAGAGATTAACATTTTCTTGATTTACAAGGGAAGAATATGAAATTCATGGGGCATAAAGTCTTCGCTGGGCCTGTAGTATTTGTCTGGCGAATATAAGCTCAAGTTGGAGACCTGGCTAGTGTAGAGGCAAGCAAATCTCTCAACCTGCCATACCAACGTCAGAGATTAACAGTTAGCGTTTGATATCAAAATACTTTAAAAAGCTAAGAAAAAATTCTATAACTAGCTATTTTCATCTTATTTGCTAACAAACAGAAATCTCACCTGATGAGCAAACCGTGAATTCTGATAACCAGTCTTCATTAGTTGTCCCCAGACCTTGTGGAACTTCATCAAATATAAACAAAAATAAATACAACTCCTTGAGCAAGGACAAGAAGCTAATATTTAAAATAGAGGTTTACAAGCTACAAATCAGTTTCTCTACCATTTGATGACATTCCCGTTGAGCTTGTTGATGACTTAGTCGTTTTTCATCTCTTTGATCCTATCACATGGAAATCATTAAGGGAAAATAGCAAATAAATGTTGTATCCTGCACCCTGGTAGAATTATTGGAGATTTATACAGTTTCAATATTACAATCTAATGTTCTCTAACCTCCAATTCCCCGAGTGTTGCAGATATTTGCTGCTTATTGTCTTCATTAAGATCTTCAAACCTGAAGAAAGGAAGGCAATCTCTAAATTAAAAGGAAAAAGAGTCCACATAACTACACTAGTAGCAGAAACAACACATCAAAGATGATTTAGGGCTAAAGATGAAGCAGGAAGTTAAACTTGTAGAGAGCAATACAAACATCAATCTATCATAATTAATATTGCACATTCACAGCATATTAGCATCCAGAGGAAAAGTGAGGTACCAGAAACAGCAATCCAAGGCAAAATATATGAAATAAAGGTAATTGATCTGGGCTCTACCAATAGATTCTAGAAGCTCTCATAGCGTTCTGAGTACTCATCTATGCAGCAACAGAGAAAATACAATTCAAGTTTAAAAATTAAAATTACTCATCTTTACTACATTTTGACATTGCTACATGGGCACCATGTCTGCACCTATGTTATGTTGTCCAGGTGATTCTGTCCCATGACTAGGATCCTGATATTGACCATGGTTAGGACGGCCAAGAGAGGAAATCTCAATTGAAGCAATTTGGCTGTGGGCAATATCCTATATAGAGGTCCAATACACATTAGAATACCACTATTTGTTTGGCCAATTAGCTATATCCTCTGCTAAAATGAGTAATTCTAAAGGGACTACCACAATGTATATCTCTATTACTATTACAAACATGCAACTGGTATGTAAATACCATGGTGTGGATATGATCTTTTCCTTTTGAAACCTTGATGTGTCCCCCAGCGATCCATATAAAAAGAAAAAATCATCAGGAATAATTGACACAGTATAAACCCCCCAGGTTAAATAGTTACACTATCCTCTATCGCTTGGATAACCAAACACCAAAGTCAGTATTTTAAAGTCCCAACTAAACCTTTTGAACAACAGACTAAATGCAATATAACAAAATAATTCCAAGCAAAAATAGCATGAAGTGCACCAATAATTTCCCAAGATCTGTTATCTGGAAGAAAATTCTAGAGACGGAGTGGTTTAGAATGATAATATGTTTAGTTTTAGAACTTTTGAATCATCAAATACAGCATCAAGAATACACTCACTTGAGAGACCACTTCAAATGATGAATCCGATCTTCAATGTGATCACGTTCATTCCTCAATAATCGAAGTTGCTGCACAGAAAAAATAAGTTGCTATGAAAGTTCTAAAAAGAAAAAAAAAAACTAATAAATAAGGATAAAACTATCAAATATGTTCTCAACTGAAGCGTCTCACTATAGTGTAAAATTGACTTTTGAACCAATGACTGACATTTATTACTCTAATGATGCCACATGGCATTTCCTACAAAAACGATAATGAAAAGACATAGTTTGCACCTACTTTGTTCAATGCTCAAATGAATCATTTACTAATGTCTCTATTTTCCATTTGTTGTGAAATTTTACCATATTTTAAAAAAATGGAAAAAACTATGAGAGACTATTGTACATGTTTTCTTGTCATGAATTTATTCTTACCTTATTTTTTATTTATAAACATATTAGTTTATATATGTATTTAGGTATTCTTATTTTAAATATCAACTTACTTTATTGTGTATAATATTCTAAAAGTTAGAAATTTATCCAGTGATTAATATTCAATTATATACATTATTTATATTATTTATGACCATATTTAACAAAAATAAGAAACTAAAATATACAACACTAGGATTAAATGCTTGGAAGAATAGTTCTGAGCAACTGTTGCCAAATTATGTCCAGAATACTTCAAAGAAATAGTTATTTGTTTCCTGCATAAGTAATGCAGTGAATTCCTATGAGAAATAGTTTTGGCTCTTGAGCGACTGTTGTACCGAATTATGTCAAAAACACCTCAAGGATCACAAGCACCCTACGAGAAGTCACTAGATTACTGGCATGGGAAATAAAAGAACCCATTTCTTTTAAAAGGGAGGATGTAAAAAGCCTCTTATATAGTACCTAATGCCATTGAATGAAGTAGGAAATACCACATTCCTACCCTGTTTCTGTGATCCTGGTGATGACACTAGAATTCACTATATATCATTACAAGTGAACTAATTGGAAAATTCAAGAATAAACTAATTCTAAACTAGATACCACTACCCACATTTTCCAAAAATAATGGCACTTTATGCCTAGAGGAGATTATATAAAGAAGTAGATAATAGAAATTTTTGAAGCTCACCTTACGCATATCCTTCAATTCCCACAGAAGTTCAACCTCCCTTTCAAGCTCTGGAACAACAAGCATTGTCCTCCAACCTGGAGCATAAGAAAACCAAACCGCATTTATGCATCAAAAAGAATAAAAAGTGGAATTAATAACTATCATGTCTTCTTTCCTTTTCAAGAGCTTATTGTCACTAACAAGGAAAAAAGTACAATTGCAGCAGAAAATAAGGCCTACATATGTGCTGAACCCCAAAAATCTACAGCAATCCAACAATACTAACAAATGTTGAATGTTATTCTAATTTTCATCTATTTAACATCTAAGTTTTTGCTACGCCGTAACAACTTAAACATGTGGCTGGTTCTGATCTATACAGTTGCATATTGTAGCATGCAAATTCTCCTTCCTAATCTAATGCATATTGTATGCAGATAATTTATCAATAAGAGGAACTGATGAAAAATGTTATACCAAGAACTTTTTTGCTGCGCAAAATATCTCCATAGATATGATCTCCAACATAAAGAACCTAGCAAAATTGTACAATGTATTATAGAAAAGGTAGCACAGTCATAAACCAAAAGTAGAAGAAGGTGAAGCTATTAACTCACAGGTCAATATTCCATTCAAGTTATACTGAGAAAAGTTACAAGTAACTACTGTATAAGTTAATACCTTTGGAAGCTTGACAATGATTCAATTAACTATATTTCTTGAGAGAGTTTCAATTAGCATAATAAAAACAATTCATAAAAGAAGAAATCTAAATTTAGGAAAGACAAATGTCTACTATACCAAATGCTTCCCAAGTGAAGCGTTACCTGTGAACTTGACTCAATTGAAAGCAATTTATGCAGATGTCCAACATTGCCTCCCTGGAAAGAAAAAAATTAAAATTCACAATTAGTTAAATCTCCATATATTAATTTCCATTTTCACAAAATTCTGTAGGTATCCCTGTTAATGCAACATATTTTTCATACATTTAATATTTAAAATACCTGAAAGACTCGACAACCGTTGGGTTGCCCCTCTGGTAATAATCTCAGTGAAATTTCCCCAACCTTTCAATAGAGCGAATGTGCAAGTTATAAAAAAAAAAAAAAAACTATTTGGAAAGACTTTTGAACCACATATGGACATGTTAAATATCTTTTTGGTACTAACCTGAGGCATAGGAGTGCCATCATCAGTATTTTGTAGCATTCCTGACTCAAGGTCTACCTCAAAAAGATTAGCACGACTGTCATCATGGAAGAATCCTGGTTTTGCACTGTGTGGTATTCATTTCTTCAGTATCAGAAATCAAGGACAGAGTACAAAAACTAATCTAAATTATTTGCAATAAAAGATTCATCATAGCCAAATGACTTAATATTTTGAGACGGTTACTTATTCAATTTTATGTAATTGTTTTGCCTCTTGTTCTCTTTGATAATTAGGGTCAGACAAATATTTAAATCAATACTGTATTAAATGCTAGTAACTTAACAAAACCTCTCGATAATTAAGGACAGACCAATCATTTAAATCAATACCGTATTAAATGCTAGTAACGTAACAGAGCAGCAAATAATGAAAACATTGAGCGTAAACCAGAACTATTTAGTAAGCACTGTACATAGAAGAAGGAAGAGAAGAACTTTTGTTGTTCTATGTAAGAAAAGGGCATACCTGCCAGTTATGACAACATCAAAATACTGAAGCCAATCAAAATTGCATGTGTTATTGCCATCTATTGTACGAGTCCGACAGAGGAAATTCATCACAATATTTGTGTAGTCCCATAAACTGCAACAAAGAAAATCAATATTAGCCCTTTCTAGAGATGACATGCCATGCAGGAACTTCAAAGACATTTTCCGGCGTAAAAAAAACCATGTGTGACATCAGTTTTAGGAATTCATATGAACAAATACCTCTAACCAGACCTCAACGAAGAACCAAAAAGGAAAAAAACGCAGTTCATCCTTAAATTTGCAAGGATCAACCATCTAAGATACAATATCAATAAAACAGAGATCCATCCAAAGAGGAGCAACAGGCAATTCTATGCTTTTTCTAGGAAACAGGAGGCAAGAAAAAAAAAAGCAATATTACCTGTTTGTCACCAAGAATGTTGAACGACCAGAGTCTCTAAGCATTTTGAGCATGGGCACTATTGCGGTATCGTCATTAATATACCTAGTAAACAAAAGAAAATGGCAGCAATCTTCAGAAGAAGAAAGCAAAACATGCGAGCAAAGCACAGGAAAAAAATTGCATTGAATTGATTGATTATTTTCTATTGGATGAACAGCTTGTAAATACAGTAATGGAAACAGCAATTATTGTCTTTATTCAATATTACATTAATTCGCAGCTATATTGATTGCAACCTACTATACTTTCCCTCAAACTAATGTTGTTTATTAATCTTACTTTTTAGGATCCTTTGCCACCATTTTCTTTAGAGTTCCGTCCCGATGACACAAGTCAACAGCTGCTCGGACATCTTTGTACATATGAGCATAACTGAAAGAAAAAGAAGACAGAAGGATAAACAAGAATGATGATATAGTATTTTAAATTAACGAGATTTATAATATCCCAACATTGTAAAGCAGCTCATGCTCTTTTCTGTGCTATTTAAAACCAAAGACCAGGTTATCATGCACAACTTTTTTTTAACTAAAGTTTTCAAATTTAAACACTTTTAGTATTATTATTTGATTGGATAGTTGAATAACGTTAAAGTTCCAAGGCAGTATATCTAATCAGCAGATCTGCATGTACTTGCACATGTCATGGTAACTGTTGTCATAAGACTTCTAATGTCATTGAAATAACTTCATTTGCATGTGTGAGTGCGTGAGGATACAATTATTAGAAAATGCAGTCAGTTTGCTTACTCAGCACCCTCTGGAACTTTTCCTGGATTGTTGTCCTTAAAATCAACAAGCTGGGCAAATAAATAGGCCTCAGCTAGCGAAAAGAGGGTATCAATGAGAGCATAATCGGGCTCATCAAAAGAGTCTCGTATGAGAGTATTTCCATAGGTGCCGACTTTGTCTTCTTTTGACAGCTCTCTAAATCCATGGTAAGCTACCTTCACATATTTATGACGATCCATCTGCACAATGCATAACCATCAGGGAAACTTTCAATTCACATGACTATATAATGAGAAGAAAAGCTAGAAAACAAAAAGCAAGCCAAGACAGCCAAAAAATGGTCCTACATAAGACAAATGACTCTGAAACATGAATAAAGGGAAGTGACCTTTAAAATGTTGCCCCTCTTTTTATCTAGAACCAAGCCTCGTACCATATATTTCCAATCAAATGTCCATTCCAGCAACTGCAAAAAGTTAATTGTTATCCTTTTACCCACCAATCAAAAACATCCACTGCATCATTATAAACTGAAATTTTTTCTAAAAAGTCAAACAACAAATTGATGGAAAAAAATACAAAAATCAAGTAGAAAATAAAGGCATTGCTTGGAATAAATAAATAATGAAGTTTCATAATATTTGTAAATGAATTCATTAGCAAATAATCTTTGGTGTTTGATAAAAATCACGAACTTTAAAATATTAGAATTACTAAATCAGGGAAACACAAACGAGAGCGCAAAACACGTTTCAATCCAAAGTCTAAAATAATTTATAAACATAAGAAAATGTGAATGTGCAAAGAATTCCACACTATTTGTGGAATCCATGTACATTCCAAACATAGTAATTACAAAGCCTAGATATTCCTACTATTTATTGTACATTATTATGATAACATAAATGTTTCTTACACAAAGATACATGGCATAGAAAAGAAACAAACCTCTTGTGGATATCCCAGATCATATACCAATTTCCTGATTGTGCCGTCGTATGCGAGGGATTCAAATGTCTCAGGCTTGTATTGTGCCAAGGTGTAGTCCATATCAAAGCCAACAGCAACAATGTTCTTCATGTTCAATGATCTGTTGCAGAAGATCTGTTTTCCAATATTAATGTTATTCCCTCCTTCGGGAGATGACCATATACACGGTTTTTTATCACCATCGCTGCAGGCCACGTGGTGAAGCCACAAATTGTCACCAAAAATAGTTTCGCGATGCTCATCCATTGAACAACCAGCAGCACGTAACTGACTGGCACCTGATAATTTTTAATTGTTTTTCAGAAAATTTTTAATTTGTACAAAAATTTCAAAATGGCAAGACAATATACACATGAAACAAGTATAAATTTAGTGCCCAAAATTGGTGAAAAATGTTTCTGAATTCAGAGTAACAAAAGATCTTTTCCCTAGCTACAAATACAAGTCCCAATCTGGCAGGGATTCTGCACTTTTCATGGTGAGTTCATTCCACAGAAAACGACAACCAAATGATTACACTTCCATCAATTGCACAACGTACAGAACCATACAAATAGGAACATCTAACCTGGACAAGCGTACAAGCAAAGTACGCAATTAATTACAAACGGTTAGATACCGACAAGGAAAATGATCATGTTTTCTTATTCTGGAAAACAGCATGGATGATGCTGACTGAAAAACTTCAGTTTAAGCTTTCTCTTCCACCCCATTTCACAATCAATGTATTACAAGCACTTAACAGAAACTTCTTAGTTCACTGTTCATCCAATAGATTCAACAAACTTCTCAAAGAGCACCTGTTCTACTTTTATCGTTTAAAAAAGTATAACGGTAAAACAGTAATATTCTTCCCTATGAACAGAAACCCTAACATCTTACCTCAGGTGTGTGTCAAAGTAAAGAGCAAACTGTGCACCACCTTAGGTCCCGAGCATAAGAATCTTCCAAGATATCCTCCAAGAATTACCTAGAAATTGCAATTTCTGAATTAAATCAACATCCTCGTTCTCCCAAAACGACCTACTAATCAAACCAATTTAGTTCCCGACCACTTAAAAACTAACAGTTCAATCCCCAAAAGATCCACCAAAGAAACATGTCCCACAAAATTCAAGCACATCATTAGAAAAGAATTCAATTCATATAACAAGAAAAGAAAACCAAACACGGTCTAAACAATGAGAAACGTAAGAAACCTTTCATGCCTAAAAGAAATGAAACACGGAAAACATCAAGACAAATGCTGCCGGACAGAGCATGAAAACCAGCATAACCAGATAAAGATTAAGCAAGAAACAGTAGAGCAGATTCAAGATGAACATGAGAAGAAAGGTGACAACCTGTAGTAGCAGGAAAAGCTTTTGTGTGAAGTAGAGATCTCCGTAAAAAACTCGAACGGAAACGAACAAGGGAAGATAAAGGGGTGGGAGAGAAGAGAGAAAGACAAAATGAAACGGTTTCCTTGGGGATGCGCATGGTGGAATTAAATAGGCGTGTGGTGCGCGTGACGGTGGTGTTTGGGAATAGGCGTGGCAACGGAGAATCAGATGCGAGCGACGGAATCAAACGTTTCGGATTATTATTACAAGTTGCCAATGAAATCGCGAGAGCTGGAGAGGAAGCAGACATTTAATATAGGGGAAACCTGGGAATTAATCGCAACAGGTTGGGATTATTCTTATCCAGATCGGGAATAAAGTTATCCATGCAGAAGAGAAGGGGAATTGGGTTCTTTTGGCGCGTTTGGCTTCAAGTTTTCAGCCAAGAATAGGCGTTTGTGTTTTTGGCGTTTGGTTTCCGATGGAGAGAGAGAGAAAGAGAGGGAAAGATTAAAAACGCATACGAGATGGTGGTGGAAAGAGGAGAGAGCGGGGAGAGAGGGCGGTGCATGTGAGGGAGGGGGTTGAGTGATGAGGATGCCGTGCCACGTTGGCTAATAAAGCCAATGACTCGACGAGCGCTTACTTCGTATGGTTTGTATTACTGCCTTCGAATGAAATTACTTTTCTGCCCTCTTACACTCTTACTTTTCAAATTTATATTTTCATTTGTAAAATAACGCGAATTTATAGTCTCATGCGTAGATGAGTGAATTACAGAGACACCGTAATTAAATATGAAACTGATTTAAAAGTATAATATTATTTTTCAGTTTATTATCATTTACATTTAATAAATCATGTTATTAATCAATGTGTTGTGATTCTCACGTTTTCCTGCTGAATTTTAACATATTAAATATGATTGCTTAATTTATGAGTTTTTCTCTTTTTTTTTTTTACACGTAATAAATTTGATTTAATTTTTACACGTAATTTATAATTAATTAAAATAAATTATTTTTTATTTTATTTAAATTTTATTCAGTATGTGTTCACTTGTTGATAATTGTTAGGGGTATAGTATAGAATATTTATTTAATATAAAGTATATTTTTGTTATGGAAGAATATATACAGTGCGGCAGCTACAAATGCCGTATGGTTCTTATTCGATTCATTCATGAATTTCCCACCAATATAATCTGATTAATTAATTAATATAAAGTTTAAAGCATCACACTTGGAATCGATTCATTCTCCTTCATACGCCAATTTGATTGTATCCGCGATGAATAGCCGAGTAAGATATACCACGCACCAACATTTAAAATAAATAAATAAATAATAAGAAACTATATATTAATTAATATTTACACATTTATAACATCTGTTTAAATAAATACATATATTTTAAATTAGTCGGATGCTTGTCTCGTTCACATAAAAAATACGAACTACAAATATTTAAAAGTCTCATTGAATAATAAATAATATTAATTTTTAAATAGTAAAACTATTATCTGCGTTAAAATTTTTATTATATTTTTATTTGAATATAAATATCATGTAAAAATTTATATATAAAATAGTAAAAGATTACGTAATATTTTAAATATTATCAAAACAACATATTTTAAATTTTTATATTCTAATTAAGTAAAGTATAAATTTTCAATAAATTTTATAAATAAATTTATTTGATTTAAAGTAACAACAAATTATTATAGCTATCAAATGAAACCACTTTATGTCATGACACTTATTATATCCATAATATCTTAGATGTATAAATTTAAAAAATTAGATTACATTGTGATGGTAATAATTATTAAAAATAATTTCCTATTGCTATTATTAATTATTGCTATTAGTAGTGCATTTAACTATTAATGAATCGATGTGATACCTATCAAACTAGATAACATTATCTTATTGCATTATGGACATTATGTAGTTTAATACACACACACACATATATATATATATATGTAGAAAATAATATTAATGATGACTGTAGTTTTAAACAGGTTAATTTATTAGTAAAAATTTGTCAATTTTTATAACTTCGAAATTGTACAGAATTAATTTTTTTCTTACATTTTTTTAAGATTAATTAATTTTTTTTATTTAGTTTCTAATGTGTTTAATTATATATATTAAATTGAATATAAATTAAACTGACACCGTATAAAAAAATAAATAAAAGACTAAATAAGTAAACAAGTACATTTTACTTAAAAACATAATGATATTAATTATAAAATAGCATATTTTATTATAATAAAAGTATTTTTGATGTTTAGAAAATAATATTTTTAAAAATCAAGTTTATTTAATAGTTAATAATGTCAAATATTTGTTATTAGAAATCAACATAGTGTATTTTGTCAATTTAAAATTTAAATGGAGAAAATAATAAGTTAGTTGGTAGTTTGTTAAAATGAAATTTAATAAAAGTTTTGATTTTTTGGTATAATTTTGATGTATAGTTTTAGTGTCTCTTATCTTTTAAATAATTTATAATTATTTTAAAATATATCGTGTTATAATAAGAATTTTATTACGAGAGAGCAGAAGATAAACTATTAGCTAAGTGTATTAACTAATTATATGATTATTAGATTTTTTGTCGATGTAGAACTTATGATGATTAACTCAATATCGAGAAGCAAACAAGAGGAGAGGGAAGAGAACCAAAGCTTGTGAAAGTTTTACGATTGCAATAAAGTTACATTTCTTGAAAAATTATGATACCATAGGATTGATAGTGTACTAAATATGTTGAGTAGGATTAATGTTACGTTCTTACAAGTTAAAAAAGTTTAATATAATAACTGAATTTAATGAAGTTTAAATACGTATTTATTATATCAAATATATACTCTTTTATACAAAGTATACAAATTTTGAGTATTAATATTTTTTTAATATATTTTACCGAACACTAGGTTGGATTGAGAAAATTGAGCCGTAGCTATGCTGATGACTTGCCTTATCTCATCCACCTCCTCCTTCACTCTCACCGCCTTCTCCCTGTTCCCTCCAAGACCAAAACCCCATAATTCAAATCAAAAACTAAATCGCTATCAACAGAATCAACAGTCTCCTCCAGTTCAAATTCCAGTAAAGATCTCTCGCCGAGAAGCTGCTTTGCTATCGTCCCTGTCTTTTCTCTTGTCTTTCTCGCCACCTGACCCTGCAATTGCATTTTCCTTCGGATTTTGTACGCAAATTCATTAGTTTTTATAATGAAACACTGCACTTTATTGATGTCCAAACCCTAATTTCTTGACGAATACACGCAGCAGGACCAAAAGACTGGCTCAAGGAGCAAAAGAAGAAGGCCTCGAGGTTCCTATTGGCTCCTATCGATGCTTCTAGAGAGAGCCTCCGCTCCGCGTATCTCCTGCTCGGTACAATTTCTTCTGTTCCTGGGTCTCTGCGTAGCTGCTATTTATTCATTTTCCTTTTCCTTTTGGTTTTGCTAATTTGTTTATTTTTCGTGAAATAGCTAGAGAATCTGGTTATACGGATAAAGACGCCGAGGAGGTTCGAAGATATTTGAAATCTGCTGCTAGGGATTGCGTTTCGCAGGATAGAAACTCGTTAGTTGCGTTTCAAGCAAGTACCGGAGTGGAGGTTTGATCTTTTTGTTTTCTTTTGTTTTCATTGTCTTATTCTGCATCGTTTGTGTTTTCATCATTAAGTTTTTGGATCGCATTTCACTGATTGATCAGATGAACGAGTTTATAATTATATGTTCCTGATCTTCATTTAACACTATGAATTATTTTCTTCTTCTGAACGTTAACTTATTAATTTGAACTGAGGCAAGATACGAGGAGATTATCAGGAGAAGAGCGGTATATCTTCTAATTTTTGACCTTAAGTTTTTAAGTTACCAAATTTTCATTTTCGATCTGTGCAATCCGCAGGTTTGCACGTTCAAATTGATAGTGAAGAATGCATCATCTTTGCTTGATGATAGGGATCCTATAAAGTTGGAGGCTGAAGTGATACTAACTGATCTTATCAGGTACTCTCTGTGTTCTGTGGGTTGGCGGACAGTAGTCAGCAAATGATTTTGATTTATTAAGGTTGCATAACAATTAATATATGTTCGTGTACTCCTGAGAATTCAAGGTTTGTAGCTAGCATGCCATGAATACAAGGAATTAGCCCTAGTTTTATTGCAGCATATCATTCTCATATATCAATATTTGCAACTCCTTGTGAACATCAAGGCTACAAATAAATGCAGAACTTGAAAACAGATTACTTACCATTTTAGTTCATGAACTTTTTGTTATATTACAACTGGGTGCTAAAAGTATTACTATAGCAATTTGGTCCTTCATTTTACGAAATTGTTTCTATTCATTAGATTTTTATACAATTGTAAACATTTTAATAAAAAACTGGAGAATCTTTTTCTTTTTTGCTCATATTTTGTTTCAATAGGGTTTCAAAGTCAACAAATAAATATTAATCTTATAATTTAATAATAGATATGACGATAATAGATAAGGTAAAGTTTAGTTTAATACCTTCTGATTTGAGATTTTTTTATTTGAAACCTTGTGGTTTTTGTTATGACAACCTACTATTTTGTGGTTCAAACATTAGTTAAATTCACTACTTCATAATCTTATAAGAGTCATTGAGAATTAAATCATACATTCATTGGAGAGGCTCGTTAATTAGCTTCACAAAAAAGTAAACCACGAGGTAGTGACTTGGCGCAAAAAAAAAAACCACAAGGTAAATTTAAATTGAAAAATCTCAGACCATAAGGGTCAAACTGAAATTTTCTCCGGTAGATATTAAGAAATAAACAAATATTTGTAATAACTATCTTTTAAAAGTTATTTTACTTACTAGTCTTGAATAGAAAAAATTATTTTTTTAATGTTACAAAAAATATAGCAATAACTTTTTCTGTTTTTCTAATATATATATATATATATATATGTATATATCAAACTGTTGTAAATTAAGTACAATGAATAAAAATTTAGTAAACAAAAAATTCAATTTCAAAATTTCACAATATCTACAGTTGAATGATTCAATCTTTAGATGCAACTGCATCCTCAACTATGCAAACAAGCATAAACTGATAAATCAAAT